CTAGAGGGAAGCCTTTGTGCTATGCACAGATGCCGGTTAATTGGGAGGAATTCCTCTGTCTCAATGCTAAGTGTTGAAAAATTACATGTCTTCTTTTGTAACTTCGAGAGGGGTACTCCTTCCTTGAGAGGAGTCCTCATGAATTTGTTATTCACGACTTGTGTGAAGACCAAGCAGTTTACGAGACTGTAAAGTCACTGTTTTCTCCTGCGACTATTGAGCGTTTCGGGATCTTAGTTTCATGGCTTTACCAATCATCCACAGTTGTTGACTTTAGTTCAATCACTACTACCATTGATACTCTCACCTATTAAAGAAGCACGACAGTCACATATACTTTTCCCAAATGGTTATTGCCGCAACGTGTCAGACCTTTTTGCGTTCTCTTCAACAAGTTCGTGTACCTAACCTGTGGAAATCCAAATAACACCATGGCTGATGTCAACAGACTGAACCAGACGAAATAACAAGGGTCAGTTGACGAAAACATTAGTGACGATAGAAGGCCTGGTGAAAATGCTTCCAGTGATCTTGAGCTAGTGAGGAAATGCATGAGCTGAATTCAATGCGTACAATGCGTAACGCTGCCCGTGAGCACGGAAACTGTGCCAACAGCATCCGGTGCAGCCTTGTCAATACTACCTCCTGCATCCCATCCTGCATCATATCAGCTCCAAAAAAGAAGAGGGTGAAATCCCTACCTTCAGCGGTAACATCGGAGACTACAAACGATTCGAGGAACTGTTCATCCATTGTTCGGCAGGTATAAGCGAATCCAAATCTACTACCAGAACCAATATTGCAAAGGAACACCATGGCATCAAGGTTTGCATGAGCCCTAGGAGAGCATGGCAAGTACTCGATGAGTGTTAAGGTGATTCGTCAAAGTTGTGGACAGCTTAGTCAGGGATCTGGATAAAAAATAATGAAGACGAATGAGATTAAGGGGAGAGTCAAACTCGCTGTCATGAATTGTTTTGTTTATACCATGCAAATATTCGAGACCAACGCAGAGGCCTCTGGTCTGTCCGAAGAACTTAACAGCAAGATCATTTTACATCAAGTCAAGCAGAAGTTACTGGAGGAGCACCGGATTGCCTACTACAAGATCGTGAAGGATGAGTACACTGAAGATTGTCCCACCGGCCTTCTCAAGTGGCTGCACAGCCAGTTACTGCAACTTGAGAAACAAGGCCTGCTAGGAGAGAGGGTGCATCGATCTACCATCCAGTAACACAGAGCACCCAACGACTTCAAATTCTGCCAAGTAATTCCAGTTAGCAGAGTCACACAGATAAGGATAAACGGTCACCAAAGTGCGTGTTATACACCAACTCGCAAACACATTATCTGAAGAACTACAACAAGTTAAGAAGTCTGCCTCTGAAAGAAAAGTAAGTAACAAGGACGAACAGCATCTGCTAGCATTGTGGATATAATTATACGGCCGGTAGACCAACATAATTACTTCAACTTGAGCCAGTGCCAGTTTGTGTTACCGTATCGTGTCCAAACTTGTGACAGTGATTACACTTTCAAACTCTCTGTCCCGTTGTCTAATCCTCCAAGTCAGCTGAGCAGCAGTCCTACGAGCAGCTCTGTAAATGTGGCAACTGTCACCACTAATGACAAGGCTAAATGACGGGGTAACCTATTGACCGTCATGGGATACCTCCGACAAGGAAACATCTGTTGCCTGGTATGTATCCTACTGGATGGTGGGAGCCGGGCTACCCTACTTAGAGAAGGGATCTTTCCAAGGTCAAGGCAAGATCTCTACCAGGGCCATGACCTTAGTTTTGGCGGGAAATGAAACAAGTTGTTTTGTCGGGAAAATGAAATAAGTTGAGGCTTTTGGACGGCCACATCGAAGACAACAAAAAATGGTTGTCTCCTTTGACTATCACAGAGATTGGCGACCCTTGTGGTGATGCCCTAATCAATCTTCTTGTCACTAGTCAGGTCAACATCGATATTGCTCCCGTGCAGACTAACGATTCACTTCTGGATGTTGACAATACACATCCTATGGTCTGGGAAGACTACATCTGTGGCAAGAATTCTGATGAACCTGTAGCAGTCAGAAGTCCTCTTGGCTGGTTCCCCCAAGGAAAGCAAGTTTAGCTTCATTAGCGAACTATGTCAATGTGTCAGCTATCAGACCATTAGGGGAGTTTCTCGGCTTACAATTTTGTGGGATTAGAGTCTGAGACAAACAGTAAACGAGTTTCATTCAACTTCCAGAGGGATCCTACGAAACCCAAATACCGTGGAAGAGACCACCAGATGACCTGCCTGACAACTAAAACTGTGCTGATGGGATTTCAAGCTATTCATGGTGACAGACGACTAAGGAGACGTCTCCTGACGACGGACAGAGCACACTGTCCGAAACGTTGAGCCTCTCCGGTTCTTATCAGAACCACACAGACTCAAAAAGAGATATTGCATGGTGCTTACCGCAAGCTTTCCATCTTAAAACTGTGCTGTCAAAATGCTGAGGAGTCTGGAGAACCAATTTAGCAACAGACCTGAGAAATGGAAAACATGCTCCAAACAAATGAGAGACACTTGTAGAGATGGAAGATGGAAGAACTGCAACAAAGATGCCGGCAAGACAATGTGGTTCGTGTCTCACTTCAAAGCCACCGAAGACTCGAAGACGACTCCAGTCAGAGTAGTGCATGACGCCAAAGAAGCTTCCAGGGCCACTGACTAAATGATTATCTCATAAAGGATGAGAATGATCTGTTCACTATTGCGTTGCGGTTCTGAGAATACGGCGTGGGTCTCATCGTAGACATCAACGAGATGGTTCAAGCCATCAAGATAAAGCCTGATGATGCTGGATTCCACAGATTTGTGGTTCGATAAAACCCCAATTACCCCATCCAGGTGTATGAGCCTACGACTATCACCTTTGGGGACAAATCGTCTTCATTGCAACCATTGTGACCCTGAGGCACGTAGTAGCTGAGCACACTGCAGGTGACGAGCAGCTGAACAGAGTGGTTGCTGACCAATTAACATGGATGATTTGAATGAATCTGTTTCAAAAGAAGCTGTGAAGCTCAGGTCCTAGCACGCTGAATCCCTGTTAGAAGGGGCAGCTTCACCAAAAGGAAATGGCAATCAAACGTTGAAGGAGTGTGTGACAAAACAGAAGTTACCACAGCTTTAGGCACCAAGTGGGACTTCGAGAAGGACACCTTGACAGTGAAAGAAGTGAAGCTATATCCAAGAACATCCCAGGCAACCATAACATTCTTACACAGGCTGTTTCCTGGTGACTTCGGTTTGCTGTCTGGACTCCTCGTTCGAGCAAAGATTCTTCTGCAGAAGTTATAACAGCTGCATTTTAATTGAGACACCTCCTCATAAGGGCAACCTATGGGCCTTGATGAGCGAAATCAACAGAGATCTTGTGAAGGTAACCAGCACTGAAGTTCCAAGGTGTTTAATCCACAGCAGTACAACGGAAGGAGATCCTTACCTGAAGTGTGCCTACATATTGCAAGTGCTTGGTACTTCCGAAGACACTATGGGCATCAGAGTTAAGCTAAGATGGTCTCTTCTGGAAGATATTGAGGCCTACCTAACATTTTTATATGCATGAACTAAAGTTACACTGCTGAAACAGTCGTGCGTGTGTTTAAAGGAACTTCAGGCTATTTTCTATTGGCAAGACTGATGCTCACTCTAAAGAATGTTCTACAGTTTAACCCAGCTAACTCGAAGATCGCGACGGACAGCATGACGGCCATAAGTTGACTATAAAGAGGACAGTCAAAGTCTTTTCCTCATATGTTGCATATCGTGTAGGGGAGATCACTTCACGATTTGACTCCGTTTAGGACATCGCATACGTTGCGTCAGACCGGAACTGCTCCTGACATGAGTCAAGTTATTGATGGACCTGTGTACTTGAGGCTGGCCCAAGACACCAGAAAACGTCCTGGCGGACCTGAAAGATGAAGAGCTGAAAAGGTTCTGTGTCTTGCATACCAAAACAATAGCACTCACGGTCAACGTTGTGTCAAACCCTACCCCTAATATCGACACTGCCAAGCTCTCCAGTTGGTCTAAGCTAAAGACGGTCACTGCTAGAGGTTTCTCCTTGAAAGAGATCCCAAACAACCGATGGCTAAAGCAGCTAACCCAGCACATTTCTCACTGGCCCTCTCCAAGCTAATAAGGGAAGCTGAGCTGTACTGGATTCGACAAGTGAAAAACAGACATTAGCTTCCAGGGTCCCAACATCATGAAGATTACAGACTCAGTCCTTGCTCGCCTGTCCCAAACGACGTTGGCAGACTGCCTTGGACCATGGTTCGACCACTACCATTGCACCTGTTGCCTATTAAAGAAGCACGACAGTCAAATACAATCTTGTCACGTGGTTACTGCAGCAACGTGTCCGACATTTTGTGATCTCATAGCACTAATAGAGTTTATCCCACAATTCCGGGGGTTACAAAGCCATGACTTTTTTTGGTCAATATCCACACAATTGGATTTTTAAAATTTGAATCAGATATTTGTTAATTTCAATCATTCCTAAAAAAAAAAATTCATTTGTATCTTTGAGTGACCAAAACTAATTGGTTCTCAAGTTTAATGCTTATTAAATTATTCAAAACATTAATGCCCCCCTATAAAAGGGTTCCCCCTTTCGAAGGAATTCCCCCCCCCCCCAAAAAAAAATCTGAAAATGGAAATATGCTTCAGGTAAACGGGCATCACTAGACCATTTGAGATGGGGGTTGCCATTGTGAAATTCGCCTACAGACGGGTCCGTAAATTTTTTTAATGTAATGACAGTCCGAATTCCTGATATGTGGCCTTCCCCCTTAAGGCCTTCCTTTTCCCCTCTATCTCCATTTTTGCCAACAGCACCATAATTTTGTCGACAAAACTGACTAATGAGGGCTGGACACCCCACACCCCCTTTAGCGACGCCCACAGGCTATTGAAAAAAGACACTTCAGATTTAAAACAGGTTCTTTTAAAATGTTCAAATTTGCAGTTTATTCACCAAACAGAGATGGTGTCAACACATGCTCGCATAAAGGCTACAACACAATCTGATATCAGAATAGTGAATCTCAAATGAATTTAGAAAATTATTACCAACAAAGAAATTCTGTACCCATCAAATCATCCTCAAAGGAGTAATTATTTTTACTGCAAATTCTTGCCAACATACACTGTAATCCAACCTTATCCCGACAACATAGCAGATTTGGAAAAGTAAAGTCCTAAAAATCACCTTCCATTTTATCCATTCCCCCTTCTCCCCAAAAATCTGCCCAGAATTCACCAACATCACCACTGGCAAATTCTGCAGAGCTACTAAGGGCAAAGAGAATTTCCAGAAAGTACATACAAAGTTTGTAAACTGCATACATGTACAATGTATTATAGAATGTACACTGCTCTGCCAATCTGCCCGATAATCTACAAGTAGGTGTGTCCCATTCAAATTTCATGAAACTGAGTCTCGGGCTCACTCGTGAGAAAATATTCAACACTTGCATGAACAAGTGCACTAACGGTTTGTCAGCCACATAGGACATTGTTTATACCTGTATAAAACAAGATGCTTTCTCATTCACCCACACATGCACTTAACAGTTGTGAAATTATCTTTCTTTTTTGTTTTATTCTGCTTTTTGTTTTTTGTTTTGTTGTAAATTACGATACATACTTGACAATTCAAGAAAATCTGGGAAAATCCAAATCCAACTTCACCAAAAGGTAGCTCATAATAAACATCGCAAAAAGTTACACATTTTTCATCATTCAACTATGCTGCCACAAAAACCATGCGCACACCATGTAAATATTAACACAGGCTCAATGATTCACAAGCAAACAGTGCATCACATTATCCTGCTTATGCCAACTCGATAAATCATTATTTCTAAGCTTTTATCTCAAATACGGTTTAGTCACAAAACAACAGTTGGATGCAACCTTTCAAGTGCTTCACACTAATCTTCTGGATAGATGTTTCAACACGTTCCAAGAAAGCGTCAAACCTTAAAATCAATCAGTACAGGGTGCCGGGGTACACTGCATCTCATTAAAATAACTAACTTCGGCGGCTGGCTGTTTGTACTCTGGGTTTGCAGGCATGTGTCTTGTGTTCACATCCTTCTACATTATTTCTGTTGTATTACAGATGTCGTGCTCAATGTGTTAAGCCAGCTACATGTACATTACTTTAAAACTAAGCCCTACCGCTGTCCAAACTTTACCAGCAGCCTTGGGAATTCATCACTATCAATGGTATATAAACTGTAGGATGGTGGTCTGTTCGCTGACGAAACTGAACACTGTCCAACAGAAATTGATGGGGATCTTCAGGCCCACAAATATCTCAATACGGAGATGCTGACAGTGCATTGTTCCATGGTAAGTCGGTCATTCCATGAAATTGGATACACACAGTGCAAACTTTAGACACAACTATGGATAGGGCATAGTAACTACATGTACATGTATAAACATAAATTGTACTGGTACACGTTGGTGTTTGAAGAGGTTTGAATTGTTTTTAGCATGGTGCATGTGTCATCCTGAATGAGAGATGGCTTGTAGCCAGTGATGTGGTTCCCATTGTAGAGACACACTGTGTGCGCGGGCCTATTCGTGCCAGAATGGCATGGGTCAACTGTCATGACTGTATGCACTTTTCAGGGGGACATACATGTACAGTGTACATGTAATGTCTTTGTGCAGTGCTGCGCATGGGCAGATTCTTGAAACAATCTCCCTTCTGTGACCATGAGAGGGTACTCTTGCAGTGTTAGCCAACACCATCAATTTTACATGCGTGCGACATGCACGATTCAGGCCAGTACATGTATCCCTGTGTTTGTTATGCAGCTGCTTAGCAGTGCTGAGTGCAAAGAATAACATATACATGTACCAGTACAGTATGAATTAGCTCACAAGCTTGCTCCACTGCAAGAAAAAGGTGATCATTTTTCAAGCAAGAAAAAAGATTCTAACTTTCATTTAAAAAACCAAGTAAAACACCAGTAAATGCTACAACTGCCATCATAATAATCATAAATAACAAAATATTAAATACATGTAACTGCACATGATCAAAAACCAAATGAATGTCAATCACCAAAAAAGTGGATCATGCAAAAATACCCCAAATACAGTATTTACTTGTGGGGGTGAAATACATTTCAGAATGTACTTTTTTTCCAAAAATATTCCAAACTTCTGGTTTTTGTACATCTCAAACCTGTGTCATGCTTTGCTGGTTTTCTCAGATGGCCTTGATAAGCTTGAGGAGGTCCCTGAGCAGTATTCCTTATACACCAAGTTGATGAGGAACATGTGGAAAATAACTATGAGACCAATGATAATGACCCAGGCAAAGACTGGCATTTGGAAACCCTGGTGTGCGTCTGTGCTGTTAATGACAGGGACCAGGGGCTGCACATCCCTGTCATCTAGGTCATAGAGGTGCTTGAAGTGGATGATCTTGGTCTTCAGGTAATCTAGGTGCTTGGGATCGTGGGAAATATACAAGAAAGGGGTCTGTGGAACAGTCCACTTGAGGGGGAGCTTTTGCATAGAGGAGGTCAAGAGAATAGGTGTGCCTTCACATCCCGCCCCGCAGGCGTACAGTTTGGTGGGTTTATTCCCACTGGCCTGGACGCTGGTGATGCTGATGAGGATCTCGTGGCCCGGGCTGGGGTTGATGTCGATGTGCAGGAAGGTGGTGTTGTAAAAGATGTTGTGCAGGTGGGACTTGCTCCGAAAGAGCAGGGGGTCAGCGTGGAAGGACAGCTCGCGCTCTGTGAACTGGCCAGCCAGGAAGCTCAGCATCATGGCCTGCATGATCCCAGTCACGCCCGCCGACAGCAGGGTATGGCAGCCGTGCTTGTACAGGACATGCTGCCAGTGGGAGAACAGCTCCATCATCTCCTTGTCGGTTTGGACTGGCCGCCACAGGGACTCGTCGAACAGGGTTGGCTGGCCATTGAAGCAAGAGCCTGGCTGCTGCAAGGCCCCAATCACCTCCTTCTTCCGCTGGAGGGAGGAAGAAGGCATAAGCAGAGGTGCCTGAGAGGAGGACATCACATAGTACACCACAGTGGTGGTGAGGATGTTAAAGACGTGGACAGCTGAGATGTGACTCAGCTGTTGCTGGACCTCTGAGGGTACGCGTGGCCGGACAGGTATGGCCAGGGGCTCCTGGACAAGACCTGAGTTCCAAATCTGCTCAGACCAAGCATCCCTGTGCTCCCGGACCAGGTCCTGGAAGTCCATCTTCAGAATTTTGAACAACTGCTCCTCCACTGAGTCCACGAGGCCGGCGGTCAGCTGTGGTGTGCTGGCACCCACGGGGGCTGAGTATTTCACCAAAGTCAGGACTTCCACTTTGTGGACTGATTTTGCAGGCACTTCGGTTTTCTTCTGTAGGGCCGTCGCAGCAATGACCAGAGTGACCACTATTCTGCTGGTTCCAGAGGGCACATTTAAGTCCCCTGCTGTCAACATGTATTCTCGGGATTTTCCATCCACTGTTAACATTTCTGCAGTGGTGGTGGATCCCTTCCACTTTACCGGGCCAGTCCGGGAGAGTTCTAGCAACACCGGTTGATCTGCATTGTTCTCCACGACAATCTCCTGCAGCATCAACTCGGGTCTGAATCGGTGTACTAAGGTGTTGGTCTTTATGAACACACAGGACTGCCCAACTGAGTAACACTGATATTGCTTGACCTGCGCTTGGCGGAAGTGCAGGACCGTTGCACTCTGGTATTTCATGGTTGAGAGCCTGGTAGTCACTAGTGGATGGTACATGCCCACACTTAACCACTGCTCCTCATTTTTCAGGAGAAATCCACTGGACTTAAACGTATTGACCACAATCCCAATGTTGCCATTGCCAACAAATGGTACCACCTGGTCCACATGGACTTCCCCACTGTCAGCATGGAAGACAGCTGCGTCCACCTGGGTCAGGTCGCTCTCTAATTCCTTGAGCTTCAGTGTCAAGCAGCCCTTGGTGGACTTGACGGTCTGGTTATGGTGCATGACCCAAGGCCCAACATATCCGAGCATGACCAGCAAGAAGATGGTGAGAAAGAAGAGCTTGCGACTCCGGGGAGTGGCAAGCACCCCTGACAGTCGCTTGGTAATGCTGGAGAGGGCCATGGGGGCTGGTGATGGCAAAACAAACTACCGGTACATGTAGGTCACTGGATTATGACTCCTCATACAGGTGTGCCTGAAATTGAGAACAAGAAAATGCACAAAACAGTTCATTCCAACTGAACAAAATGTTTTAGTGAGAACCTCTCCCATTCTGTTGCAATACTAGTACATATATGTCCATTTTAAAGTTACATTAATTGATGATTAGCACTCCCCCAGGATATTTTGGCTAGAAATCTAGCCAGACCCACCAGTCTGCATCATTTCTCAAAGTGCCTTTGCCTGCCCAGTGCAACAAGATCCAACAGGATCAGCTATCCACAAGGCCAAACACCCACAAAGTCTGCAGTTACCAGCCACCTCAGTACCCAATAGTGGCATTGTTCAATGGGACCAGTTCCGGTTGTATGCCATGGGTCATTTGTTCTGCTGTTGATTGCCCAGAGCAACAAAGTGCACCAGGGGTTTGCACCTGTCCTGTTGCACTTTGCTGCGACTGGCAGAGTTAAGGTTAATGATAACCACCCCCCCCCAAATTATTTGAATGTACACTTATAATGATTACCATTCTTTGCATTCTCAGGCAACTTGTTTGTGTGCAGCATTATAAATCAAGTAGAAGTTCCACGTGGATTTAATGTAACAGTAATAAAAAGGAGCACATATCACAAAATCAAAAAAGGAAAAACTTAAACTAATTTTCTTTCCAATTTTTGAATGTGCACGTGATGTAACGGTTCCAGAACTGTCAATCGTGTCAATTGCTTCATCATGTAGGTATGTGGCTAGGGCTGAGTCAATTCGAATAATTCACTATTCGAGTATTTGACATTCCATTCGATCGAATATCCGAATATTCAGTCGTACTGACCGGCAGATTATTGAACAAACCATACACAAAATCAATTGCAATAACACACACAATTGTGCATTATGATCACCATCGTAGCTTATCACTTCTAGGACTACATGTATCTCCAGCCACGATTTAGCAAGATTTAACAGACAAACAATACTTCTTGCCCTGTTCAAAAATTCCATTAGTTTTCAGTGGGATTTTTCTCATTTAAAAAACACAAGAAAATTCTCCCTCCCTTTTCATTAATTCTGCATTCGAATATTCAAATTCTGAAAATTCGGCAAAGCCCTGTACATGTATGTGGCAATCTTCGTTGAACAGCACTATCGATTTTGTACACAGCCTTATTTTCGTTTTTTTCTTGGCCGGTTCGATTTAAGTTCTCCAGCGCGGCTGTGTTGGAGTATCCCATGTCTAAAAACAACCAAAATAACATGGAACCACTTTTTCTATGACATTTTCTGGTATCTTCACGAATACACAAGGATTTATGGACGTAAGTCAGGTCGCCCATTTTAAAAATCTTGTCCAGAAAATATTTCCAAACCTGTTAAAATGCACTCTTCTCATCCAGGTCAAATATTGCTGTCAAAATCGTCCATAATTTTATCAAAGAAAATTTTATTGATCGATTGTTTGTTTTTTTTTATTGATTTGTGAAATTTGACGGGATTTTATAGATCACATTGTTTAATCGGCCTGCAGGATGAATTCAATCTCAGCTTTATTCCTAAGTGGTATGAATGTTGCTGCAAATATGGCAGTGAAATTGTCGTTTTTATAGCTTCTGATTACATTTAATGGATCTTCCAAGGTGTATCTACAGACGTATTTCTGATGACGTATTATTATGATTTATGATATATGTAGTGTGATGGTTCAAACTACGATATTTGAAGATTCAAAAAACTGTACTGCTGCACTTTTACTGGGAAAATAAAGCCATATGCTAATAGTGAGTCACGTGACCTGAATACCACTTCCTGATTGGCTAAGAGTCCATCACTGGCTCTTCTCAGCTGACTCGCTTTTTCGCTAATTTCGCTAATAACTAATTTTTGTCATAGGAGGTCATCTCCTTGGTGTCACTAGGTCTACTATCATCACTGATCATGCATGTCATGTTCATGAAAAACTTGAAAACAAATAGACATGTCACAAGGAAATCTGTGATGTAAATCACAACAAATAATAATGACTCACGTTTCCATTTTTATCACAGGGCCATAGGCGTGTACATACAGCTTGTTTTTCGGCCGGTCAAGTTGTTTTCTGCTTGTGCACTACCGCCACTAACGTTAGTCTGAGTAGTCAGCATTGCCAAGATCAAGTTATTTGAGGGCAGCTCTACCCGGAGACTGGAGTCCCATTTTCTCTTCAGTGTTTCTACCTCGAATTTCCATTTCAAAAGATCATCAGCATCCTGGAATAGTCAGTGTACCGTCCTCCATAGAAGATAGACACAGATTTAAGAATAAGCTTTCTGTTGGTAACACATGCCTACTTCATTTGCACGGTTTTGAAAAAAATTTAGCTTCCACAGTTCCACGTCGGACATCCCAATATGACCACATAGAAGATCTGACAATAGGGGGCGCCCTGGAAGCCGACTGCCCAATAGAGGGCGGTAAACTCGAACCGCAATGTGCATGGGACGTGCATGAAGGACGAGATCGAACATTTTGACAGACAAGCATGCTGTGCATGTGACAGCGAAATTTATTGTTTTGATCTAGGGCCTATTACAAATTTTAAATCGACTGTTACTAGTATTCCAGAACCGTATGGAAGATAGCACTGGTAGTCAGCAAGCGGGTCATAGTGAAGGTGAAGGACTGCGTCATGACATGGCAAATAATGTGGACAAAGTTGAAGCATTGGTAAATATAAAATAGGATCATTCATTTTCTTTTCTGATGCTGTCAATTTCGCTGTCATGACTGTCTGTACATTTTATGCTTCGTCATCATCATGTTTGTAGGGCCTGTCTAGGCTTACTACTAACGTTAGCCTTCTTTTCTTGGGGCCCGTCTAGTACTAAATCATGACTGCTACATGTGCATTGGCCATTTTACCATACATGGTCATGGTGCAGTGAGCTTTGAGTGCCAGTTAAGTTCAGGATCGTCATGAGCATGATGAGAGATTTCTTGACGTGCTTGATTAAATAAGAATTATTTCTTGTTTCTCAGGATTTGTTTATCACAGTCATGGATGTTAACATGATGACTCATGTCAGTGCCAAAATTGTCTAGAAGTTACATGTACATGTTGAAGGGTGGATTTTGTAACCACTCGTTGAAGAGAAGGCTGAAAAGTCTAAATTCTTGTTTCCCCCAGTGTGTCATCAACTAGCCCCATAATGTGGCTCATACTAGACTACATGTACCTCTATATAAAAACTCTCTGTGACATACGGGAGCTTTGTGACGTTCTGCGTTGAAACAGACAGCTACATTATGACAATTCAGCTTTGTTCTCACCTGGCTTTGACTTCGGGTTAAAAAAGCTCCCAGATGAACACACAAAGTCGTGTTCATCAACAGTGAGTCACAAGATACCACGACGTAACATATGGAGAGGTCCCCCCCCAAAAAAAGGTTGGGAATGTTTTCTGGTAAGAGTTCCAGATGTGGACGTCACTACTTTTCCCTAGCAGCGGTGTATAAGCCCTCAAAAAGTGATAACATGTCCTAAAAAAGTCAAATTTAGCAGGGAGAAAATTGAAGCGTTGGGTTTTTACCGTGAGTGATTAGTTATGTCCGGATATGGAACTCTCCTTTATTCCAAGCGTAGACATGGTAGAGGTCAACATGGCGTATGTTGACAATGTTGCGCCCTCCGCCCTCTAGCTGTCTTGGAATTTTGAAGCAATGTCACCCCAAAATTTCTGTGATGGCTGCCGTATTCTGCTGTTGGTCATGGGTCTTGCACTGAGCAACGGCTGTTGCATGTCCTTGCTGTGATTTGCTCTATGCCTTGTTGAGATCCCATCAGTAAAGTGCACTAGTGCCACTAAACAGCAGTCGGTACAGTCTTTGTGCATGTGCTGTGCTTGACCCAAAATAGAATACGGCAACCATTACAGCATTACAGAAGTTTTCAGGCGGCGTTGCTCCAAACTTGCTTCAAAATTTCAAGACGACCAGTGGACAGAAAGTACAGAAAACAAGTCTTAGAGACTGGTCACCTTGTCAACACACACCATGTTGACTCTTAGGTCGAGTTCGGGCGACCTGTTCTTGACACGGGTTTCTTGTTCTCGTGCTCGAATGGCAGGAACACGACTCAAGAACACTGTTCCCGGAACAGGATCACGCACCACCTCCTCGTCAGGGTTTAACAGGAACACACAGAAAACCTTGTGAGATTTTGATTTTTGAACAGCTGCAAAAAGTAGAGATATGGCTTCCAAAGCCATAAACAATGGGAAGTTTTGCAAAATTAACATTACTTTTTTTCCATAACACAGAATTGAATGTTCCTGTTTATATAGAAAAGAATTCCGCCCATCTTTGAGTCCATCACTAGTCCTTTCACAAGTCCAGTCACAAGGCCAGTCATAAGTAACTGGGTGAACAATGACAAAAGAATGCTTTTGTTACAGCTCATTTGAATAGCTTGTGAATCGGCTGAAGACAGAATGACTTGTGATGGACTTGCAGGGACTTCAAGGGATTTGTGATGGACTCAAATATGGAACACTTTATCATTGTTTTCAAGCTGTTTAAGCTATGTTGGTGTACTGTAGAGCGTATGGGAGTAATGTACGTATATAGTTAAAAATCTCAACAAGCTTATTTCATTTCCTCTTCGTCAGTTCCGCAAAGCTGAATCGGACTTGGAGTACATGTCCAGAAAATTGGAGGATGAATTTCGGCAGCAACTGGGAGGCAATAACCAGGTGATCACTTTGGGTTTCAAGATTCAGAATTTGCATCTCGGCAATGAACAGAAAAAAAGTCCTTGTTAGCTTGTTATAGTAGATTTCTGAAGACAAATGACGATGCGTTCAATTTGGATGCTTCCATATTTATTTGAACAGATAAAATCAGAGAAAACATGTTTTCCTTAGAGGTGCTCTTTAATATGATAGAGCTGCTTTTGTAGGGAACTTTTATTTTATTTATTCTTTATTAAATCAGGTTAAAGCACTGTTTTATATAGTTGTTTTTTATTTAGGGTAAAAGCCCTATCTGTCATAAATTGTTCAGCAAAGGGTTATGGGTGTAAATCCCAGGTGAATGGGGATGTATATCCCCCCAACTTTTTTAGGTTGGGGTGGACTATTGAATCATCCCTCCCCCCCCCCCCACTTTTTTATGGTGAGCAAAAAATTAAAGCAGATAGCAGAGAATTTTTTGGGTCTTCCCAACGACTAAAATGATACCACTCAAGAAGGGATAACAATTAAAAAAGGCCATATTGCACCAGGCCAGTTTGTAAACTCCTGAAACGGATTTTAAAAAATGGCCCCATGAGTGGCTCTTGTCAGAACTGCAAATGTTATTGCATGTATGGACTATGTAACGTGCTCTATCGGGACTGCACCATTGGAAGAAGGGGGTGGTATAAGGCTGGTACACGTGAACATGTATACCAGCTCCTTCAATTTTACACCTTTCCGTCCCCCCTCCCCACATTTTGGGGGGTGAGAAACAAAGTCTGTGAATTTCGAGGGAAATTTTTACTTTCAGGAAGCAAAACTATATTGAATAGTACCGGAAGAATGGGGAGCACAAAGTATTTTCAAAAAACGTAAATACGCAATTTTGATGTAAGATTATAGGCATATACATAGGCCCTACTGGGGTACATGTAAGTCTTGGGGAGCTCTGCAAATTATCATGTCGAATTTGGGGACCATCCATTCAGTGTTGTAGTCGTCGAGACTACGAGTGGTCTTGGTCTCGAGACCAGTCTTGAGACCAGTTTGAACGTGGTCTTGGTCTCGGACAGCTGGTCTTGGTCTCAGTCTTGAATTACTTTTTCTGGTCTTGGTCTCGGTCTTGGGTTACTTTTTCTGGCCTGGTCTTGGTCTGTTGGTCTCGGTCTCGGTCTTGGACTGCCTGGTCTTGACTACAACACTGCATCCAGTTAATCATTACTCACTTCCCTCCCCCCACACATACTTGCTGGCACTGCTTTATGCCACCGACAGCAGGAACTGCTCATGTAGAGTTTAATCTTTTAACCTGTTCAGCAGCTCAATCCCAGCGAGATGATGCAGCGACTGCAGCGGATCAAGACGGAGTACAACAGCCTGGTGCAGGACGCCGAGGGCATCAAGGCCATGCAGTCCCAGATGGCCAGCTACTTCAGAGCCCAGCTGCAGACGGCCTGCACGGCAATCAAAGCCCTGCAGGAGAAGGCCCCACAGGCTCAGGTAAATGTAATGAGCCTTTTCCAAGTTAAATTTCAATAAAATCTGGTATGCTGTGTATCTTATGGCACATAAGCATAACAGTTTAACAGACACAACAGACAGAAGGCACTGTTGCTATACCTTGTGATTCGGGGGCAAGCTTTTGCATAGCAACCACCATCTCTGGAATGGACTGGTTCCTTTGTGCCCTTATCTATTGAAAACAGTGTATTGGTGCAAGGCATCTCTTACGTTACTAAGCAAAAGCTTGCCCCAGAATCACATGGTATAGCAACAGTGTCTTTAGTATGGAGAATTCAAATTGTTATGTTCATGTGAATTTAAAGAACTCAGTGTACCAGATTTTATTCCAATGCAACTCGCAAAAGGCTAATTAAAGAGCCCGCGCAAGGAATTGTTCTCAGATTCATACGTATTTTGTGCAACCTCCGAGTTTTCGTTAGCACATGGAAAGTATTTGATTTCTGTTGTTTGTTAAAGGTTCAGTTGTCCATCAAGTGTGGTTATCCAAAAAGTAGCTTTTAAAAATTATTGTTCAAAAGTATACTTGGTTTAGAGATGATTATGGGACTGAACTCCCCTGTGAAATCATTCTCCTTGGTAAGCTTTCATTTTGAAGAAAATGATGAAGAAGTTCATTTCCAACGATGTATCTGAAGTCGCATTTTCAGAAAATTACCATCAGAAGCACAATAACAGCACTGAGCCCCAAATTTGCAAACTGGAAAGCATTTGCAAGAAAGGGTTGCTCGCTTAGTGTCTGCGCGAGTTTCATTCAGAGCAAGCTCCTTTGCCCCTCTCTGGCCAGATCACCGACAGCACTGAGCAGGAGGCGGTGGTAGATTCCATCCTCGGTCTGCGTCTTGGGGAGGCCACAGATCCCCACCAGGGGAACGAGACAGAGGAGACCACCAAAGAGAACCCAGCACAGGTCAGTAGACAACTCCCAGTAATAGCCCTTCACACTGATGAGGTACTACTACAGTGCATGATGGTATTGAATGGGAGTCATGATGACGCATAACGATATCCTATGATTGACGTCCTTCCTTGGCCTCTGAATATGGCCCACGTATATTTCCGTTATGCCATTAAAATTTTGTCACACTTGCAAGCCAGAATGGCTCTTTTACAAAATAGTAACTTGCAGATCTGTACAGGTTTGGTAACGCCGCTGTCTTAGCTTCAATACATGTACTTGTATCGAGTCTTAACATATTCTCTTGTAATTGTTATTTTAGAGATGCCATTTTAAGAACTCTTTGTAGTCTGAAGGGCAAAAAAACATTTTTAAATAGGTTTCCAATGTGCGAGGAAGACATACAGAAATTTACTTGTACATAAGTATTTTTCCATTATTGGTGTTGCAGGAACCTTCGGGCAAAACAAAAAAAATCTCCGGAAATATCACACCAGAGTTGTCTCAAGCGGGTAAGACCTCCACAAGGCCGTCTGTATTCATCCACCCTCCACTCCCGTCAAACATTTTGTATCAAAGAGGGGTATAGTTGATTTATCAGTCAGACAAATTGTTTTAAATTTTAGATTTTTGCCCTGCCCGACTTGTATTATCACACTGTCTACTCAGTGTTTGCCCCCCGAAGGCTTGTGAAAAAACCACGAGCGTACTCGGGTGGGACTTGAAACCATGACTTCCTGCTTACTGATGCAGACGTCTTAACCACTCGACCACCAAGCTTGCCAGTGTCGGCTGCCTGGTTCAAGTCAGATGTAGCAGCGAGTACCGCGAACAACTATTGCCAAGGATGGATTTGCGCCGGGGATTACGCTCGTGGTTTTTTTCACACGCCTTCAGGGGCAAACACTGAGTAGACTGTGTGATAATACAAGTCGGGCAGGGCAAAAATCTAAAATTTAACTAACATCTCCCCGGCGCAAATCCATCCTTTGTTATAACAAATTATTTTGTTTTGAAAGTACCCGCTACCGTCACAAGTCGCAGATTTACCCCTGCACCCAATGTAATATTTCTTTCGGAATAGCCATGTCAGTGAAGATGTTAGGCACTGTACTTTGGACTGACAAGAATTCAGGTTGAGGAATCACCAGGAGATTTTGCCCCAATTCTTGAAAGTTGAAGCCTTGAGGGGTTTCGTTTCAGACAAGAGAGCAAGGAATGAGGGCTTCATCCCACTATCAGAGGAAGAGTTACAGTCTGTGTCGCCCTTGGTCAGAGGCCGTGTCAAGCTGGCTGATGTCAATGCTGTAAGTATAGCAGCGTCCAAATAACCTAGCTATGGCTAGAAATAATGCACATGTCAATGGGAAATGGATTCAGCCGCTAGCCAGTTCGCTTCCATAGGTCCGTGTGTTAGTGCCGCCATAGCAGTTTCATTAGTCGGTCATATTGAATTGAAAGCGAGGTTTGCTTTTTTTATTTTTGGAACCTGAGAAGAAAGTTCATTACAAATTGAAGTTATTAATATGCTGATGAATAATTCAAAACTTGTGATTAATTATAGACCTACATGTTTTAACCACATATTAGACATGGAACCAAAAATAGTCTGGCACCACCCCGTTTAACAAATTACAGTGAATAAGATTCACGATCAAAAGTGGCTTCCCTGTGTAAGGTTTGATAGGAGGTGGTCCAATAGGATCATGACCGAGGCATAACCTTAACTCGCTTCGAACCCTCCTGAATATTTCCAAGCCATCCACTGCGTAGGAAACCAATGGCATATTCTATGTGCTTTCCTGTTCAAGGAGAAAGTCCCATGTAAAGCCATGGGAGCAGGACTGTACCTTGCTCAATCCTGCAAAATCCACCGAGACCCTCCAGTGGCGTTTCACAGATCTAGGAAGGTCACAGTGAATGAAACAATTGCAAACACTTAAATGAAAACTTATGAGGAAACAGTATTGATGTAAAAGCCTGTTTTGATTTAGATTTGGTTTCCCTTTCTGTCCTTACAAAGAGATACCCTTTGGGTATTGCCATTGGTCCAATGAAAGTTAACAGTTACATAACATCATTCCATTTGAAGGTGTATAAGGCATTGTTTGAGCACTTCAAAGTGAATGGCAACTCAGAAAGTTTGACCATCCAAGACATGAGCAAGAAGGGACTGCGGATAACTGGAGCAACGGGAGAAGCTAAGTTAAAGGTGCGTTTAACTTGGTACACAATTAAGTGATCAATCGGTCTTTCTCTCAGCCATCCATTTTTAGCGATTTTTTTCCCTTCCGCTTTAACCGACAGGTCCTCCGGGCACTGAAGATTCTGCACATGTCCAGGAATGGAGCCGTCAAACTTCTCTAATTGGTCCAGATCCCAGGCACAGTGACTTCTCTCCTGCTACAGACTATCACATATCTGCAGGGAGTCTTTAGCTTCCATTTGGCCCATGTTGGGCTGAGCCCAGTGTACAAGGCCACTTATCTGCTTCCTTTTTTCAAAGAGAGTAAATTCTTCCATTGATTTATTTCACTTTTCGCAGTAGAGGCTTTGATGTTAACTATTGGGATTACTGTGATGCCAGAAGATATGTTGCATAACTCTCCTGAAACCACATCTATTGCTAAGGAAATGTTCAATCACTTCTTCTGTCGGTGTAACCGTATTGATCGTCAATCAGTGTTCAGTAAAAGTGTTTACATGGCAAAATACTGTGACATTGTCAAATGTTGTAATGTGCATCAAACGATAACTGTACTTGGCATGTAAGACTTTTCAAGTACACATGTAATGTGAGCATAACATTTACTTATGTGGTCTGTTTCCATAAAGCTAACAAGCTGGAGGTGGACTGTGGAATTCTCTTACAGTGCTTCGGTTAAAGACGTGACTTTAACCACTTGCTATCGGGTGCTTTTAAAAATGCAGTGCCACACATACTGGAGATTTTCAAGATTTTCAGTTTTCTAAATTCTTCAAAAATTCATCGTTTCATTTAATGGACGTTTACACCCACATGAATGACTGTTTGGTGGCTACTCTAAGCTGAAAGGCAACTTCCATTGACTCCTGAATATTTCAGCCTAGCCTGCGGCCTCGTAATCCCTTTGTCCTCAGTGAATGCGAGTGGCGTCTTTTCAAACGCGGCTGGATTAGCATGCAGCGGTGCTGTGTCGTTCATCAGTGAGGCCCTGGAGCACTTTTGCCCGCGGTGCTAACCTGCGGGCAGACTATGCCCAAAACCATGGTATACTGTGACGGATTACCTTCGAAAAATGCAAGCCGAAAAATGATGGCAATTCCCAGCAGCAGGTCTTTTGTTCTGAGTACGGTCTTTTGTTACATGGACCAGCTCTTTTGTCCCATTTCAGGCACCCCGGCTCTGCTTATAAGCCCATGATGCTCGAAACGGGGTTCCCCGGCAGAAAGTGCTTAATCAATGGAGATTTAGCCTAATTGTGACCGGCCCTGGAAAAATGGGTAATAAGTTGCCAGATTCAGGTTATGAGTTTTTGACGTGGCTGGATTTTGTATATCAAAAGCTACAATTTGATATGTGAATGACCCCTGTAGTGTGCTGCGTTCTGTAGATATCCACATTTTCAGATTCAATAAAAGCACTTTTCGAGAAAAAGCTTGTAAAGTGTTGCGCTTGGAAACACAATGCTATGTAGGATTTCCTACTGAATGATCAATTTTTCATCTTTATTCATCAGAATCCGGGTTTGTAGTCACAAATTCTGAGCACATAAATATTATAGAAGCTATTAAAGAAAAAACACAAAATCACGTTTTTGAAGACATTTTGCCCTCTCCAAATAGATCAGGTCATTACGTGCTTTGGCATTGCGCAACTTATTACCCCTTTTAGCAGAGCGGGTCACAATTAACATTGTGTGCCCTGGCTCACTCAAAGTTCACACCTTGTTCAGTAGTTGCGATGGCAAACCCACAATATTTCACCTATTTTGGGGGGACTGAAAACGTCATGGGGACATGTCTCCACAAACCAAACAAAAGAAATTGTCCCCTTGACCCGGTGAAGGCCTCCCCGCGCAGGTTGGTACACAGCCAGGTGAAAACTGGTCGTGCCTATTCAATGTACAAACTTGTGCTCCTTGTAATGTATCTCTGTGTGCATCACACGAGTGGCCTGGGAAACAGTGTGATAGGATGCAATCCATTAAGCCCCCGCAGGAAAGCACACCCCTGTTTTCCATACGAAGTGAGGACATTCTTTTGTTCTCCTGTAGTTATTCCTTTTTCTCCAACTAGGATAACTTCTTTGAACTGGATTTTTAATGATGATTTCCTGGACTGTTCCTCATTATTTTGCTACGGATAACCTTGACCCCAAAATGCCTCTGAAATTGTTTTCAGAGAGGGGAAAACATTGTGTAGACGTGTGCGAGTCCACACTATGCCATCGCACCCTACATTATGTGGACTTCTTTTGTAGAGAAGTCCACACTATGTATGCCACGCCTGCACACGTAAAGAGAATGTTACGTCATTATGCTTTAGGTCTATTGAGAGTGAGTCCACAGTGTTACTTCTAGTGCAGCAGTATTGATTTATCAGTCGTTTTTCCGGGATGGTAGTGGTAAACCCCCACTTCCTTTTACGAGAAACAGTTGTGACATACAAGTGAGCAGTTTTCTCATATAGTTTTGTGTGTAGTTCCCTCCGTTGTTTGTGTAATTATAGTGTCAAGCAGTTCTGTCTAGCTGACTCCACTCTAGAGTCTACAGTCATTGTGCATTGTTACAATTGTTGTCATTGTCAGTGTCAGTGTCATTGCTGTTCTGATTATTGTGCCATTGGAATGTATTTGTAATTCTCTCCAATAAAGTTCATTAGTAATGGCCTGCCATTATAGCAGGGACAATCAGAACACTTGCCAAAAATAATTTGTATATTCAGTATCGCATCAACCAATCTAAGCCAGAGAACCCGTGCAAATGGTAGGCGTGATCGTTCGGTTAACACAATTGTACAGTCACGTCCGTCCAGTTTGAAATTTCTGACTGCCTTTTTTTTTAAACAGTCTGCCACCACCGCAAGTTAAAATGACAAGGTTATTGATGGCAAAATTATCAGCAAATCGTGCAACATCATCAGCAGATTGTTGCGTTGCTGCAGTCAACTGTGCAACTCATCCCAACTGTTAACTTATCTTTGGCCGTCAAGGGATGTCCCTAATATTATGGTGAATTTTTTTGGCTGGAATTCTCCAGCTGTGCTTTAATGCCCCTTAAACTATGTCTTTGCACAAATCTACAGTCTTCGCCCATTTTCTATGACATACATGTACCAAGGGGTGAATTTGCACATTTTGATTTTAATCAGGTGCCGCACTTATCACGAAATGTTCAAATAGTTTGAAATACGATCTGGTGGTCTATGCGTTTATATGTCTGTGATACAGCCCGCAGGATATGTTTGTGCAAACTGTCCATGTGAGCAGATGCATAATCCACCATTTTGGTTCCAACAATAGAAATATTCATGTCGCAACCCTTCTTATAAACAGCTCTGTAGGAGCCCAGAAACGAGTTGGAGTTTGAAATGCACAAAAGCTGTAGAACGGAGAAATTTACATAGTGCCTTTTTTGGGGAAGGGGTAACATTCAGTCTTAATGATTAAATAAAGGCATGAAATTCCCCGATTTTGAATTATGATTCTGCAAACAGGTACAACCAAATGCAATAAGGGAAACTAAAAGGAAATCGTGAACGAACAATTTTGTCATCCAGTTTTCTTCCTTGTGTCCTGAGGTATTGTGAAAGAAGAGGTTTAATTTAAGAGTTGATTTCCAGAATGCGATAGGCGCCATTTTGGTCTCTTTCTGAATCCTAACCTCCAGCAGTTGTCTGCGGTCAGTTCCTACAGCTTTAAGATAGCTAAACACAACCTGAATGAGTCAAAATAGAAAAAAAAAGGAAGTTTAGGGATACCTTGTACACTGTTAAAGCTCTTCAGTCTTGCATCATAGTGAAAAAAAATTGCATGTCTTTATATGGATGTATCTTATTTTGGGAATAAACCCTTCAGTGCCTTCTACTGACTCTGCTGGCACCTGTGTGAGAACGCTACAAACCAGTGGCAACAGATCAAACTGAACCACCCCTCTTTAGAAAAGAAAGGAAGAGCATTTTCAAATTGGAATTAGTTACTGGTACTGTATTTCAGTTAGATTTGCTCCGTTTTGAGATGGTACTTTTCCAGAGAAATTGTGCCCAGGTGGTGGTATTAAAGCATGAATTCCACTAAATCACTAGATTCCTGCGCACGGAGCTCATGAACAACGTGATCCCACAGGCTATTTGCAATACGCGTAAGAGGTGCCATAATGGGGACCAATCTTAGAGATATTTCAATAAATTACAAATTGGGACTGATCGTTCACAAAATCTTCCAACTCCAGTCAGTCCATATTCTGCATAGACATGGGCGGCTGCACTCAGACATAGCTAAGCGTGAATTTTTACTTCAATTGGGGGAAGGGTTGATTTTAAAAAATAGTGGTTATCCCTCATGAAATTGTAAAGAAAACTGATCTGGTGGCCATAATCTTGAATTCCAGGGAAAAATGCTTTGCTCAATCATTCCTGAACCTTAGCGTCACCAGGTGGAGCTATTTAAGTCTGATTTTGCACTGGGAGTGGGATGGGAGCGTAACTTGTGCAACCTCAAAATTGAACATGTGCATAAAGGCTTTAAACAATGATAACAAATTTGTAGAGTGTTTTATACGTTGATCGACCTGGGACTAATGTTTCATCGGGGCGGGGAAATAAAAGTAGGTTGCCCTTGGAGAAGTTGTTATCTTGACTTTTAAAATACCTACAAAGTGCCAAAAAAACGCCACGCCCCCTCCCCATCCGGAGGGTTACTCGAGCGCCCTCATTCGACAACGAAGATCTGAGTCTAAACTTTATTAAGTCGTTTTGTATTTCAGTTCTTTTTCATCACAGGGTGAAACGAGTATTGAAAAGATAAATCGTCTGTATGATGTTAACGATTCAATACAATATAAAACTTCAATATAAGAGATGCATCTCTTTTTCTTTTACATCAGTATTCTGTCAATGGAATTATTGCGTGCATCAAATACAAGACATTTCATGACTACAGCAAGTCTACGAAACACAGGCGACTCGACTAATGACTAGCACAGTAACTAGCATCGTTTGGTGCAATTATCCCATGGAATGCTGCAAGATTTGCACCTTTCCCACTAAATTCTATGGTTGGACAAAGGCGACATCAAACTATAAGTCATGGTAAGTTTACACATGTGAATTTACTTCTTAGGGCTATTTTGAATTCTTGCTCGGCCGAAGTCGTAGACTAGGGCCTATGTTTTTCTTTCAATACTACAAACCTCACACTCACTGGCAACTGGGTTTACATGTACAAACTCAAAGAATCTGTGGGAGGGGTGTTAGAAAACAATGGATCTTTCCTATGAAATACGCAAATTAGACCGGCGCATGTGTGATTATCAACACTGTCGGCAGTGTAGGAGACCTCCTCTAACCACGGAGGAATAAAACATGCTCTAACCATAACCTGGTGCACTGAAGGTCAGTCAAAACCGTATTGCAGCCTTTGTCGGATACTTTAGCAGGCTTTTCTTGAAACTAAGTGAAGTTTTCAGTGTCTTGAGGTTGGAAAGTAACGATTCCTTGTCTCTAAGTTTGGCACTCATGCCAAACTATGCTTATACAGAAACGGCGTGTATGTGCTCATGGTTGCGTGCATGGAGATTTGTATTGTTACATCATAGATTTAAGCAACTTTACCAACCAGTGGTAGTAATGCGCATGCACCTGACTTATTTGCATATTTCATGGGAAAGGTTCATTATCAATTGTCTAAGTCTCAGCAATCCACGGAACATTCTATTTTCCCCGGGCTTCGCCTTGGGAAAACAGAATTCTTCATTGATCACTTTGGGAGGTTACGTGTAGTTCCACCACACCACTGGATGTCCTGGCCCCATTTTCTAGGCTAAAACCTGATTTGAAGACTTTAATTTTGTATTGCAGAGTTTTCTCAATCATTTCTTATTTTTTTTTACAAAGAGCATAATGTCAAATGACAACAAAAGTGCCTTAATCAACCCAGCTGGCGTTTCCTGTTGATAACATGGGAAACCGACTGAGTGGTAACCGTAGACGAGAGGTGAGAGTACATGTACATGCTAAAATTTATAATCTTAATTCTAGTCCAATTTCCAGGCACAAAACAAATTGTGACTTTGTGTTTAATTAATCGCTGTGCTGTAAATTTTCAAAAGTTGATCCAACTTTGTCTTCGGAATCAGTTGATTAAGTTGCATCGAATCAGTTCACATAGTTCACATTAGTCTCTTTTTTCTTTACAAATCAAGTCCATTTTGTCGAGAGCCATCTGTAAGTTTTGGTTGGTTGTCATGCCAACAGATTCCCAGAAGTGCCAGTGCGTACACGTTCCAGCGGGTGTGGTCCCGCACATCGCGGCGGCGTCGCAGTGTCAATTCACTGACCGACCCCTACCTGGCCTCCCGCACCACTTGGCCCGTGCCGCGAACCGAAGCCATGTTCTTGCCCGAGTACACCGTCAATCCCAGAAGTGCTGAGAAGGAATATAAGGTACTTGACTGGTGCCCTGACCTCATCATGCATGCGTGTGATGATAGGGCAAGACCCTCACTGGTTCGAAAATCATGTAACCACGACCCTGAGAAGAAATACCAATATAATTTAGCTCTTTATACCCGATAAGTTATGTCTATGTGATGTCATTGTTCCAGCTAAACTGTCTCAAATGAGTGAATTACGTTTTCTTAAATTGGTTGTTGCATGAAGCAAATCAAATGGGGTACTTCTTATAGAATATGAAAAGAGAGATCAGCAGTCATGCGAAACTTGCTTAGCAAAACAGGTATTAATACAAGCCACGATGACATATTAAGTAAACAGCTTCGAACTGGATTTCTGCTCATGTGTGCTTATTTAATTTGGCTTAAAACATCGTGATGCAATTTATCACAAACTTTAAATTTATTTAAGCAAAAACTGGCTTGAATTTGTTAGTACTTTTATTTCGTCACTGTTGTTTTTATTCTCAGGTTTCCAAAATAAAAAGTTTTACCTCACTTTCAATTCAAGACGGCCGACACATGAATACTGTACGTGTCTATTACAAGGAGTCCTTCTCCATATAGGCCCTACACCCGAGTTCTGTCCCATTGTTAAGCAATGCCTACGTGCGAAACGTGAGAGAACTTGGAATCCGACTGTTAAGAGGCAGTCCTGGATAGGATGAATGATGTGAAATGCTTTTAGTCCTACTCTAATGCTGTCATTCCTCTTGGCAGGTCTTACACCAGATCAACAGAGGTGCCTACGGGGAAGTGTTAAAAGTGCAGCAACAGTCGGACAAGAAGGTCTTTGCAATGAAGGTAGTTGCAGCATACGACAGTGTAAATATAATTGACAGCATAATCGTCTGATTGAGTCCAGGTATTTGAAATTATGCCATTGTGGCATTGTGTGAAAAGACATTTGGTGGCAACAGTTCATGTCACGTTTTTCTGTCGTTGTGTCACAGGTAATGTCGAAGCAGGAAATAATACGCAATGATGCCGTGAAGCAGTGCAAAGATGAAGTATGCATCCAAGTAAGTAGTCACTGACGAGGACTGTTAAACTACAATAGCGCCCTCACTTCCTACTTAAATCTAGACCATTACGGTTCTTCTTTTGCTTATTTTATGGACTGAGCACAATCTGTAGGATGCAAATGAACCACATCTTTCTTTGTACATACCAACGTCAAATTGTTGAATGACAGTCTTACGGTACACTTTCCAGTGGGCAATATTTTGATTTTATCTTCAGGCAAACTTGAATTCTCAATTCTGATTGGTCTATCCATGGCAGCAAACAGTGTGATATATAACTGTATTGCATAGTTCATATCAAACCCTGCGTAATTCACTGTTCTAATGCGATGCATTGCTTGTCAAGCTTGCTTGAAGAAAGATTCGTTATCAGACTCGCACTTGTGGAACATGGAATACTGTGCCTATTTTCAATGTGTGATTCGTATGCATTTGAATGTCCTTCCACCTTTGCATGAAATATTTACCGATTTTTAATTTTGCCTTTGTCATTCCTTTCCATCAGAGGATGGTGGGTCACCACGCTTTCATTGTACAAATACACAAGACATGGCAGAACAAGATTCACCTGCACATCGGTAAGATTAGACTTCTCTGCATCCTTTTGTTGACCCTGACCTCAGACGCTTTTGTTACTGTGCCTGAGGTCACAAACCTTCAGCACTGTATTGTCAATTGGAGCTTTCATCCTGAGGTTAACCATGAGACAGTTGTAGCTTATCAATGCACCGATGTAATATTGGTCCCATCAAATGGCATCAAAGTACCATATGACTACATTGTTTCCCCATGATCGGCCACCGTAACCATCTGGCAAATATTTTGTTTAGCAACACTACATTGTACGTTGTAAAGTTTACAGTGAGACTCATTTTCACCAAGAGTAAAAGTGACATGATAATTACCACCTGTGCAATTTATGGTCATTCCAATCTTGGTACTGGGTACTTTAAGGTTTAGCCCTAATGGCCTAGGTCCTTTTCATAGGATACAGCCTCAATCCTTCAAATCTTTCGGCAATTCCTCTCATTATGTTGAGGCAGTGTGAAAGGTATCCTGGAAAAGTATGGAGGATTTCACATATATTTGTGGGCATGAATTTCTGCATGGCTGAACATGAACAACACTAGGTCTAACCCAAAGCATTAAGACAATGCATCCTTCACAACAAGCAACGTAATTTTGCCATGTAGCCTCAATCCTTCATAACCGCCCGGAAGATTTTGAAGGATTTGGGGATGGTTAGGGTTGAAGGCTTTCCTACAACATAAATACTGCCTGCAGCGCCACAGTCTTTACCAGCAACCATGACAGATGTGTACATGTTAGGTCACATGGGCCAAAGAGATAGAATGCCCCATCCGTAGTGCTCAAATACACCTTGCTAAATTATGGTTGTTAAAATGGAACTTTTTTTATGTATCGGTTAACAGTGTCAATTCACTGAAGGGACAGCGCCTTCAAAGACTGTCTGAAGTTGAAGAGGGGCATATGCTTCCATAACTACAGATGTTTGTTTCACTTGTTTGTTTCGTCACTTTAGGCGAATGCGAAAGCAAAGCAAATATTTGATGTCACGAAAAATTTGCAGCGAAATTTCACTGAAGTTGAAATGTGTTTAACTTTTGCAAATTCGTAATGCGAATATTTCATCAGATTTCACAAATTCATTTTTGCTTTCGCGCAGAGTATGAAGCAGCGTTGACTGTTTGTCTACATAATGACCCATTATTATCAAGGGGATGTGCACTCGACGAGCTCTGTATTTTGTTGGTCTCCTCCATCTCACTGCTCCTATGTTTTTCGTTATCCTCATTTGCATTATGATAGTTATATTTAGGTCTCATTATTATAACCATAATTAAATTCATTCTTCCATTTTGTAAGTTTTTTGTAATTGTAATTTTGTGATGATGAAATTAATTGCAATGAATTTTTCCTAGGCACAATTTTTCTTCAACTTTGTACTCTTCTTCAATGTATAAACATTCTCTCACATTCTTCTTTGGTTAAATGCATTAAAAAGTGCACTTTTTGAAACAATTCAAATCATGTTTTCCTGGACAACTGAGGGTGCAGTTGCTGTGAAATGATTTAGGAAAGATGTAGAGCATTTTTCAAAACAAGGGGATTTGACTTAGGCTTTTGTTTGGCTGGTTCCAGCTATTTTGAAGTGCATTCGAAACCACATGTTCAAGCTCTGACTGGAACCAGCCAAACTGAAGTCTAAGCCAAGTTCACTCGTTTTGAAAATTCTCCTGCATGTAGTTCAGTGCGTAGGCTTTTCTGGTCAAATTGTGAACCCAGAATTTAATACTGAAAACTTTTCCGAGAAAGGGACTGATTCTTGCTTATTGCTATACGGTATATATATAAACAATAAGGAAGGAGCAGAGAAGAGAAAACTGACTCCAGCAAAATCTGCACAAATGCTGGACTTTTTTGTGTACAAGCCACTGCATTTGCATGAGGCTTCTTCCTGAGATGACATCACAGTGTTGCTTATGAATATTGAAATTCTCATTTGCATAAAACCAAAAGGCACTACGATGCCCTTTAAAATAGTGAAACAAAAGCAGAAAATGAGGTTAACTGAGACACAAAGGTGCATTTTGAAGGTTTGTATTAAAGCAAATTGATTGCACCTGCCCTTTAAGATACACATAGGCACAAAAGCTTATGCTGCTGTTGAACTTCAGTCTCTTCAGGCGCTATGACTTCGGAGAATTTATGTTTCCACAGGCTAACGTGGCTGTACACATCCTTGTCCGTTTTGGTTAACATCCTTCTATTTCTCTCACAGCTGCCCTTTAAGTAAATCATTTATTTTTGTGCTCACGGTTCCCTCTCTACTTTGGTCTGAAACAAGACTACTGATAATATATATGTTCGTGCATTCACATTAAAATGCAATACAATTGGACAACTGCCAAAAAGACAGACAGCACGATACTGCAGGATGCTCGAGGGAACATACAAGTTCCAAATTAAAGTGTTGCTAAAAGGCTTATGTCTCCAAAGGCTATTTAGAACCGGTGATGCAACCGTGCCCCTGGGTGCATTACTTTGGCAGTCCAACTACTCTGCAGTTGAACTGATGTTAGTTGAACTATGGTTGACAGTCAAACTTATTAATGTCCACCAGGGGCATGCCTCTTGAGCAGAGGCCCAGTGGAAAGTCAAAGAGACCAAGCTTTACTTGATGAAACTCGTTACAATAAAGTGAATCCAGTCATGCATTTTGGCCAGTCTTTAGAGAGGATTTGGTGAAGCACCTCAGGAACAGCAAAATGAAGTTACAACATCTATCAATTATTTGAACATGGAATATTTTGCATTACTGATAAGTGAAACTGCCGGATTTATATTATGAATTTGGACTTATATTGATTAATGTCATACATGTCATTTCCGTTTTGCTTTGTTCTTTCTGACATCGCCACTTTCCTCTGTATTTCTTTTAAAATTTTTCCTCTAAAGGTTTTTAACTCTTGTTAATCAGATTTCCTCTAAAACTGTTGACATGAAGCATGCCAGTCTTTATGTGGTTAAATGGCATACATGTACCGTACCATTTGACTTTCTTTTTTTTTTTCACCTGCTGCGTCGTCATGATCCTGCGGAAATGGCAGTCATGGATTATGCAACTCATGGTGACCTTTACACACTCTGGCTGCTAGAGGGCGCCTTCTCAGAGGCCGCCGTGCAGCTGTACGTGGCCGAGTTGGCCCTGGTGGTGGATTTCCTGCATAACGCTGGCATTGTCTTTAGGGATCTGAAAGTAGGTCTCCAGTTCTCTGTCAGTGTTGCCTTGTAGGCCTGGCATGCCCAGACAACCGCACTTGCATCATGTAGCACCAGTGGCCTCCTTCATCCTCATCCCCAGCACCGTTTATGCTCTATCTTGTGCAGTTGAACCCTTGTGCACCCCGGTTTGCTTTGTATCCAAGGGCGCAGTGAATTAAAAAGAGGCCAATTGCTTAACCACTTGATGCCAGACAACGTGTTAACACACATCATTTTCCTTCTTTGTCCCACGGAGGACGTGTACACTGGTTTAAGAATTTTTTTCGTTTCTGTGGTTGACGTATGTAATAACGTGTTGTGCTTGGTTGGGTCAAAGTACACTTGTAATGTTGAAGAATTTACGGGTTAAAAAAAAAGGCCTCAGCAGCTTTTTGTGGAAAGAAAATCTGACATTAACTGGCTATCCTTACCTCCCTGTAGTGCATTTGTTTTTCAGGTCATCTTCTTGAGTCCTCAAAAAAAATCCATTACTCCGCAGAAACCCTGCAGCACATTGTCTGTACTTCATTTAGCATCATGCTCCATGTGACCTAACAGCACCTGAACTCAATATTTATAAGCACCTGCACAATCCTCGAAAACCTGGCCGTGCAAAGATCATGATTAAGTTTTGAAAGAATGCTGATTCCCACTTATTCAGTGTGACTCGACACTTTGTCATATCAGCATGAGTCATCATAAATCTGGGTTAAATTTGATCTATTGTTATTGTTTGCCAAGGGCAAGGTTTGCTGAACGCAAAACCATACGGATTTAATTATACCCAGGCCTTTCCTGAAATTGACTGTGTGCATGTCCCACAATGAGTTCAGTATACTGTGTAGAAAGCTCTACAGTTGTGATTTCATTCTTCTGGGTCTAGAGAAATATTAGGAATGTATTTCTGACGTGCATGTTTTTTGACATACTGGTATTTTGTGTCCCTTGAGAGTGAGCTCTAGTCAGCTCTTTCTAGAATGCAAGCCAGCAAGATTTAAGTGATTAAAACAAATGTTTCAGGTTAAAATGGAAAAATATTCTACTCTCAAGTGAAAAAAAATGGATTCACCAACTTGCTGAGAGTTTACCTGAACTAGATCAACTTTTTGGGCCATGTTGTCTTGTGATTCTGTTTTCATTGTGTTGATAGCAAAACCTGCTAGAATATTTCCATTGCTTTAAATCTTGCCACAACCATTGACCACCCTATTAGTTCATATTAATGCATTGGTTTGAGCAAACATCATTGTGTTTGTTGACTTACTAGTTCATGTTCTTGTCCTAAAATGTATTGTCCAGTAGCATTGCTCATATCATATTTTCCTCTGTGCCATTCATACATGGACAACATTCGATCTATTAATAAATTGACAAAAAATATGCCCCCTCCCCCATGCATGTGGGTGTACTTTGGCATAGGTTGACACTTGAGGTTTATTTTGTGTTCACATTTAGCTTAAATGTGCATGCTGAGCAGTATTTGTATCCGGCTGTAATACACTGCGCAGTGTATATCTACCAGTGATTCCTGGGCCCAGAATTGCCAGACAAAGAACTTACATAACAGAGTTTCCTTACAAGGCAAAAGTAGAACCGATCCTCACCATTTACATGGTCCATAATTACATGCCGTTTGAATCACACAGGTAGCTTTTTAGGCCAAAGGATATGTAATGTGCTTGCGTGCATTTGAACCCTGCATATTATGCATAGTCCTCACGTAGCTCGCACTCCTGAAGTTCCTTTTCTCAATTGCATGTACAAGAAACAAATGCAAATTTCCATATGTTTAAGCCCTGATCTTGTAGCATGATATTCGTCAAGTTGTATTGTCTTTTGATTGTGTTTGAGACATGAGAATGCTGATTTTATTACCATTTGTGTTTATTTGCATTTTACTTTCAAATTGCACTTGTAAGAGAACCTGCTTCCAGTGGGGAAATCAAACTTAGTACAACTTTCTTAACTTGCCATGATTGTGTACGACACAACAGCCTGAAAACTAATGTGGGTATTACGCTGGGGTGTGAGAATTCAGCCTTTTAGCTGATTTCAGCTTCTTTTTTTTCAGCTGTTGACTGTGAATTTCAGCTTTTTTGTACACCTGGTCTGTACAAAAGTGTGGGAACATTTTACATTTTAGGTTTTTGCCAGCTGTTTTCAGCTGTAATTTTAAGTGACCTCTCACACCCCTGATGATGTAAAGGAATCGACAAATCCACGGCAGGGGCATTTAATCTACGTGTACAAACAATTGCCAGGAAACACAACAAGTGACAGAAAATAACATACAACTGTTTCATCGTGATTTGGTATGAAGTGCAATACAGCCTGGGATGTTTGATGAGGGAGGGCATATAGGGAAAAACTCTCCACCCTTGTTCCTGTTGTTTGTTTTGTTTGGTTCATTTTCCCTGGGTTTTTTTTAACCGTCTCACAGCCTTGCCATTCACTGTACATCACATTATTGCAGGCCCACTAGATTGTGTCTCATTATGCCCAGATGCTATCCATGTATGTTTAGGCGAGCATCATCTTTGGTGTTTAGATTTTTTGTAGAAAAATTTTGGAGGGGGACGGGACAAAAACAACATGAAAACAGTATTTTCTATGTTGTCAAGAAAAACCAAATAAGGCTCTTTGAGCCGGAAGGAAGATAACATAAAAAAAAAATTCTAAAAAAAACAGAAAAGAGGTGTCCCTTACCACTTGCACTAGCCGCCGAAGACCAAAGCTCACAAAATTGAAATTGGGGACTTCACCAGCGGTCAGACGGCAGAGCCACAAAAAAAAACCAAAAATAAAAAAATTATATTAATATTGATGAATTGTTGGTCATAGGATCCAAGACGTCTCAAAATAAAAATGTTTATTTTTTTCCAGTTCTGAATCTGGAAGGTTGGGGGATCTGAGCGTCAGCTTAAAAACGCTTACCTTATCATGAAGGTGTACATGTAGTCGTGTGACTTGTTGGTAGGGAATTTAAGGGACCAGCATTTGGGGCCACAAATGGCTTGTGCAAAGATGTTCTTCTTGCTCCAAGGAGCAACATGGCCTAGTCTATTTAAAATAATGGTAATTGAAACCCCAGAATTGGCTATTTTTCAATTTGACATGTCAGATGGAGAATATTCTACTGGACCATGATGGCCACATCAGACTGACAGATTTTGGTCTGGCCAAGTGGTTGAAACGGGGCACAAGAACCAACACGATATGCGGCACGCTGCAGTATATGGGTAAGTGTTCACCCAGAACAGAAAGCAAAAGTCATACAAAGGCATTTTTATTCATAGCAAAACAAAAATTTCCATCATTCACTGTTACTTGATATTTTCTTAAGGATTCAAGCACAGCCTTGAAAGGTTCTTGGATTTTTTGATCCTTGAAAAAAAAGTGCTTTGCTTTTCCTCTCAAGACACAGGAAAGTCCTTAAAATCAACGCGGTTTCAAAAAGAACAATCTCAACGTGTCGGACTGAAGTTGTGACAGTAGTTTAAAAAAATTCAAATAATTACCCCGTCCTCGGTCATGACTCACATTTAGGGATAAAATCTACTGTACATCCATTTCATGTTAGCCTTCCTGTCCATATCTTCCCATGAAATCTTTGAAAGCCCAGTTTAACTCAAAGTTTGAATATGTGGGGGGGACATACATGGAAGCATGTCATGCACATGATAACCCTGAATGTGCTGGAATTTTGGAGGATTGAGATAAACTGTGTTGACTTGAGGGGGGGGCAAGATGGAGATTTTTTCTGACATAGATGAAAGAATTGTTCCCTTCCCGAAAGGAAGGTGCAATTACTGTTTCTCACTGAATGCACCACTTCACTGTGCAACCCTTCCGTATAAAGCTTCAAGTCCTTATATCTTGGTTTTTCAACCAAATTGACTCAGCCCCAGAGATCCTCCGTGAGGACCCCTACTACCATGCCATCGACTGGTGGTCCCTGGGCATCATCACCTACACCCTGCTGACCGGCAGCTTCCCCGTCAAGGGTGCCCCCAACCACCATCTCATGTGCAGCAAGGTGCTGCACACGGAATACTCACTACCCACCTCCTGCAGTGCCGAGGCTAACGAGATGATCACACGGGTGAGTTTTGGATTTAGCCTGGAAACGCTCTCCAGATCTGACAGGGAGTTGGAGAATTGCCTGGCTGTCATTCATGACATTTGACACCATGTGAACTAAATTGTTTATGTGTCTGTATGTGCATACTTCAAGCCAATGTGAAGGAAGGAGCCTCTTGAAAACTATGTGTGCTTACAGCGCACTCTAACAAACAAAACGCCAGACATAATTTAAAGGGTATCTTCAATCAGTTTTGTTTTAATACAAAGTTTCAAAATGCACCTTTGTGTCTGAGTTAACCTCATTTCAACTTTTGTTTAACTACTGCCAAGGGTATTTTACTGCCTTGTTGTTATTCATGCAAATGAATATTTCCATATTCATGAGCAAAACTGTGATGTCATTCCAGGGAGAAAGACCAAATGTAACATTGGTTTGTACAATGTACACAAAACTGTTTCTGGGTTGCTCAGAAGCATGACTGTATTTGTACATGTATTTGTCAGTGGACTGTATTTATTAAATCAAAGGACTGCATGTTCAATACATGTTCTTATTCCATAGTTGTGAAGACTTCACACATGAATGATATTGGGTGGACACTTCACACTTGAATGATTTGGGGGGCCCAAATTGCTGTGCAAACATACTACAGTCTCCACAATCTCTTATTTCATTCTAATCCAAGAAACTCGTCTTGGTGCAGTGCAGTGGCACACTGCCCCCTCAATGTTTAGCTGGAGTCTAGGGATCAGCACCTTCATAGAGTTGGATACAGAATGCAGAAGCGATGTTGTTAACCAGACTCCGTGTGCGAACTTTAATCACAGGAGTCTGCAGTTTTGTCACCTTAAGGTCTTGCACAGAAATTTCTTTTACCAATGTCAATTAATTTCCAGCTATAAAACTGTGCTCTGGTTCTCGGGTTTGCAACGGTTTCAACCCCATCCCTGAATCACATATGAAACATTTCCTCAGGGCATGGTAATTTCTGTTGGTATGATATTTCTCAGCAGAAAATATGAGACTGTTGAGACATATGAATTATAGGTGGAGACAGGTGGCTCCAGTTTGTTACGTGTATGATCTATAATTTAAAAATGAATGCCAAACAGATGGCTGTGACACATTGAGTGTGTTCAGAGAGCATTTTTTATCTGTTTAAATTCATGCTGCCAGGTTTACTGAAAAATAATGATTCTATTTGACATGAACAGGTGTTCCGCTGATATCAAGACCTACAGTTGTTTACAAGTTTAGCCTTGTATTTCACAAAATTTTGGCTTACTGAAGCTTTTGCAATATTTGCATTGTGGAAATTAGAGCCACAACCTGTCGGGGGAAAGTTCCCCTGTCAGCGTAGATTGGTCTCCCCCACAATGCCATGTAGTACAAGTATTCCATTGATTACTTCAAATTGTTTTCCATAGTTACTTTACACATCAGTCAAAATCGAACATAGTCATTTATTTAATCCAAAAAGCAACAGTCATTCGTTCAGTTTCACCATTAAAAACAATGGTCATTTGTTCAGTAAGACAATCAGTAATATAAACCTTAGACAAATTTGTCCCTTGCTACATGTAACATCAACCAATCAGTTCATCAGTCATAGCTAATAAAATCAGATGTATCAGATAAAACAAAGTCAAAACATTCACTCAACAGATAATACATTAACTTTATCCTTATCTGCTCCGAGCAGGAACAAAAGAGGGCATGTTTTTAAATGAAACTGAAAGTCCTTTGGTACGAGCTCACCGCATAGGCGCGGAGCACGGAGCATGCCGAGTATGTACAATAGATTCATTCTGGAAAGTATGGTCTAGGCGTGCACAACGAGCGTGTGCAAGAATTCGGTTGGAAAACTTTGTACCAGTCTGCCTTTCTTTAACCGGTGAGGGTGCGCTTCGACTCAGGGCAGATGTAGTGCTTTCCATTGTAGCAGTGATCTCAAAGCACTTTGCTAGTACTTTTGTTAATCTGTTCAGCCGGTGATGCTGGTACAAGTCGGCATCCAGAATGGATGTGTTCCCTGTGCTTTCTCAGCTACCCATTTATACGCGCAGGCAGAGAGAGACGAAAAGGGTGTTGGTATTTGCCTAGGGTCACACCGTCTCAACCCTATGATCGGTTGTCAAAAACCCAACCACTAGGCCACACGCCACCCTACAAATTTATCAAAGAACAAATTTATTGTAATTGTTTATTCAGACAAAACATGTGCAATTGATAAGCTGCACTTTGCTTCATGATTGTTGTCATGTCACAAGTACATGCAGGACTTGGATCTTATGATCTGTTCACCTGTATCCTATTTGTTTTGAAGTTCACGTTATTTTCTCGGAAGCATGCTAAGTTATTTGAAATGTTACATCAGGTTAACACGCAGTTACCATTTAGGAGGTAGAATGCCTCACCATCAGATTTTTGGGAACCTTGTATTTTTCTTTCGTTTGCTCCTCGGGCAGCTTTTGTGCAAAGACGCCCCGGAGCGCCTCCAGTCCCTCCCAGCCCTCAAGGAGCTGAGCTTCCTGCGGCCCCTCAACTTTGAGCAGCTGCAGAAGCGCAAGCTGCAGCCCAAGAGCTTCCTCAAGAGGAAGCTGCCGGCCACCCTGGCCCGCCGGACCAAGAACGGCAAGAAGTTCATCTGCGACAAGCAGTCCACGGAGCTCAATGTTAGTAGGAGCGACAAACAACAACAAAAGAAAAGAGTACTCCTGGCTTATAGGAGCTAGTTTTGGCTTCCATGTTAGAAAATCCATTAGCAGTCAGGCAATGTCAAGTCTTAAAGACCAACTCCAATGGTTTTAAAAGTTTTGAAAATGAACTATTATTGCTCTTAGTGTGTAATAAATCATATATTTATTACTAAATCCTGTCTGTGTTGTATCTTTATTTTTGTAATTTTGTCAAAACTTTTGAACGGTGTCTTAGAGTTTTATGAAAAATTTCCACAATCTGACCGCTGGTGGTGCTGTTGAGAAACAAAATTTGTATGATGTAATACCGGAGAAAACATTGAAGCTGGTATCCATAGCACAACTGGTTCCACTACAAACAAATATGAACATGGAGCTACATGTGTGTGCAGTGCATAGCGGGGAATGATCTGTGTCCTGGATCCTTTCTTCATGACTTACAATAATGCCCAAATTATGCATCATTGGTGGATCTACCAGAAATTTTGTGAAAGAACCGGGATTGAATTTCTTTGAGTTTCCGATGAATGAGAGCATTCTTCAAGTTTGTGCTGTCGTCCGCAGCTATGCGTGCTATGGATGCATATAGCACAGGAACTGTGGTATTTCCTCTTCAACGGTAATACATCACAGAAATCAATATTCATTAGATACTGATGAGTTGTGACGACATGTTCATTTTTACAGTACCGGACTGGACTCGTAGGAAAACTGGATACAAAAACTGTGTTTTATTAACACGAAACATGTATTGCAAACGAGATATTGATATGGGTCCCTTTTATTAGACTTGGCTTTTCTGTTCATCTGATTCAATATGAGAAAAGTTAGCATCGTTGGAGTTGGTCTTTAATCAGTAAGCTATGACATTTCCCATGACTTGAGGTGGCAATCAATATTATGTGGTCACATGCTGACAACACCTGCAGTCTTAGGTCGTGTTTGTTTCACATAGATCTGGATCACCATCGGTGATCTGTTGTTGGTTGACGGACACCAAAATTTGCCTAATGGATGGTGCAAACCAGCATTAGATCCATGTGTAAGAAAAAGGCCCTTAGCTTATGAGGTCCATCTCTGAAAATGACAAACCCTGCAAATTTGCATAAGACTACAAACCTAGAGATTAAGCATCTTGTTTTGTGACAAGGCCATTTAAAAGATCACTTCTGTTTTCTTCGGGCAGATTGAAAATTTTGACTGGCTCCGTGTGACTGCATTATAGCAGGCTCCGCCATTACCCGTTGCGAATGCTACGGTGTTGTCATGGAGAAATGCATCTCGAAGAAAACAACTCATCTTTGGACAACTTCGCTGGAGAAGGTAGGATCACTCTGCCCAGCTTCAGTCATTGTCATCTTGGTACGAGAGCCAGAAATTAATAAAGCAGGGTGCCAGAAGAGTAAAAAATTCAACAGTAAAATTAAAACGTGTGGGTCAGCTACAAAATGTAAAATTTAGATTTAAAATGTAAAAATATACAAAATGTATATAAAGTGTGTCACTGACAACTTGATGAGGCTGTACACTGCCTGGATGTATATTTATGTAGACAGTGAGACTTGATAATCTTGCCTTGTAGTTTGATTAGCCTGGGATTTGTAGAGACATTCAGATCCACAACCAACAAGTTTGGTTGAACATTGAGTGACCGTCCACCACTGCCTTTCTATACTGCCTTGAGGGGACGTTGCTGTCTTTTTTAACTATTAAGTATTTTTGCATTTGCTGGTTTTTAAGGGGAAAAAAATTACCCAAAGAATATGTACAGTAGAGTACAGTAGTAGGGTGTTGTATTTGTTACGTGCCATTTTTAAGAATTTCAAAAGAACTAGTTTGCGTCATCTGATCATTTTGGTAAGCAAGTATGGTTGGCAGTGTATTAGTTTGGGCAGTATCCAGATATTTTTTTATGGGTGGTCTTGGTCTTGACCATATGGAAGTACTGTCCAAGTGTCATTGCCCTGTGGAGGAGGTTGAGAAGTGGACAACAAAAAGCCTGATTGGTTGACATGAGTTTCATGAAATGGAATGCAATCTTGTCACCGAGGCAACAAACAACAGATGGCACCTGTGACAAGTTTGTGCAAATCCAGTTGGAAACTTGTTATATGCACTCTGTGGCTTCTTGTGCATGTCCTTGCCGTTGTATATGTAGGTATCTTAATGGCCTCTGGATGGGCACAAGGATTGACCCTCAGTGAGGTGACATAGGGCTACTTAAACAGAATGGTGTCAGAAGTGGCATATGCAGCAATAATGACCACAACCTCTTGAGACCTCGGCCAGAACTATATTGGAAAATTGTCTTTTTGAGGGTTAAGGCTGGTTCATACTTCAGGGGAAGTATGAACCTGCCATTCAGAAGAATGAAAAAGCAACACAAATTTGACACCACGAAACCTTTGCAGCAAAATTTGCATCAGATGGAATCTTTTCAACCGTTGCATATCTGCAGCACAAACATTTGATGTGACATCATAAATTTATGCACCAAGTATGAACCAGCAATCATAACGAAGTCTGTGAATGCATTCATTCATTATGCAACTTGCAAAGAATCTGTCGGGACTCTTACTTCATCCGATGATGATAGTGCCCTGTTTAACTTAGTTGAATCAGGGAGGAATGTATATATTTTATTCTTCAATGGTTGAACGAAATTGGCTTAACTCCCTAGGATGATTTATACCAGCAACCTTCCACATCCCTGCAAAACTCTACAGCAAACTGTGCACATAAACAGTTGGACTCACGTTTACTTGTAGTATGCCTAATCCCACATAAAACACAGCCAGTACCAGTGCAGGAGTCATATCCTAACAGATTCCCACAAACCCTGGTGTTGGAGTTGGCTGCTTGGGGATGGTTAAGTTCATGCACATGTAAATCTGCTTTGCTTAATTACCCTGCCAACAAATGGTATTTATACTGTGTCACATCTGTGCCTCATGTGTACATAAATTATGTACAAACCTTTATGACAGGGAGTGCCACTTGACTTTTATAGCAGTTGTACTTTGCTAGTGTGATTTTGAGCCTTCAGAATAAACACGTTTTGCAGATTTATTATTTGGCAAGTGTGGACTTACGGCCAAGAGATAATGTGCAGAGATATGGGCTAACAGGGTAGAATATTTGTAAATCAAAACATTGCATAACGCATTGCATACTTTCAAATCATAAAATTTTCCCGTGCGTTATCTTTTAGTTAGCTTGTAATTTGGACTTGAGATTTGGGATACATGTATGACTGACGTTTATAATGAGCTTTTTAAAAATGAAGAGCATAGAACAGCAAACTCATCACAAAAACATTACATTTACTTGTAATTTACATGTCCAAATTGATTCCGAAGGGCAGGATTTTTTTCGTCAAGAGCATTGCTGTGCAATTAAAGCCATTAGATAAAAGCAAAACAAGTAGACTTGAATCATTGTGTGAAAATTCTTTTCCATTTTTCTGTAAAGAAATAGTTACTCAAAATTATGGTTCCATGAAAATGATGGAGGTTTGGCAATACAGACTCTTAAAATGACTTGAATCTGTCAAGTGAAAGTCTAGACTGGCAATAATTACGTGAGCAGATTACTATGTCAGCAATCAGGTTACACTCCAAAGATTTTTTATAATGAATCATTAATTGCAAAAACAGATAACAGACCTGTCAGACCTGCATAATTGATTAGATGAATATAATAATAATTATAATAATAAACAGAATAGTGAGTTCTCAGCGCATATTACGGAATGTCTCTATGCGCTTAATAGCATTACCCCTGTACATTGCACTCACATCATCTGAACATTCCTGGAAGCATTTCAGCTCCCTGGGGAGTATACTAGCCCAGTGCTGCCATGTCAGCGCAAATGGCTAAACATAACCGTGTCTGCCCTCATAGGTACCCATTTACTGCTAATTTACCCCTACATACATGCAGGGGTAAAGTGACTTGCCCAAGATCACGACATGCTGCCACAAGCTGGATTCAAACCCCTGACCCTGGGATCAGAAGCTACAAACCCTAACCACTAGGCCACGTGCCCCCAACGTGCTCAGACATATATTTAGATAATTCTAAGGGCAACATTGCAATATTTTGTGTGTGCAATGTTGGATTATATACATGTACATTGTTTAAAGTTACACAACAGTTTGTAATTTTGTGGGGTGTGGGGAGTGGAAGAAATTTCTGAGGCTTAAGTCTGTGAATATATGCACCTGTACATGTGCGTGTGATTTAGCAGGGATGCGATGTTTGTATTTGTCATAATGATGCAGCTTTTTGAACCATTGCAGTAAGGAGGGGTCTCGGAATCCATTGTGGGTGTAATGTACTGATTTTCTAGTAATCCAAGCTGGAGATGCAACAGTGTAGTATTTCTAAACCTTGAATCCTACTGGAGATATTGTAGGCCAACTGAGCCTTGTTTAAAGGATAAATTTACACATGCCTTGTTGTGGCTTCTGCTACTACACAGTTGAATTATTGTATTCAGAACTGTGGTTTTAATATGATGCATGGTCACTCTGAAGGGGCATAGCCACCATTTTGTGTGCCCAATGGAACATGGACTTTTCATCCCACTTAGGTTGCATCACAAATTAGGCTCCGAAGACCCGAGGAAGGTAGTCTTGGGCCAAGACGGCAGAACCTGACAGCGGACTCGATCGAGCTATCACATTCTGCCGTCTTGGCCCAAGAGTACAAGGAGGGTAGTGTGTGATTTCAGCATATTTTTATTGCGCAGTTATGTCATGTAGGGTTTGTGCCATCTGTTTTCATCACAGCCAGGGCTTTGCATGTGGGATATTTAAATTTTTGCCATCCTGGTTCATACAATCCATTTGCCACGTTGATTTGGGTTCTATCACGGTTTTGATTCTACTCTTAAATTCTCCAGTCTGCTCCATCCTGCCACTTGTCTCCCCTCCCCCATAGTGGTGTCATTCTGCCCTGAAATGTCTTGCATAGTCTCAAGATTTGTTTGAGGGACCATACCAGTAGATTCCGATGTTGCAGGGGGCCTCTTTTGGTGCAATTGTTTTATACAAACTCTTCATACATTTTTTTTAACTCAACAGTTGAGCATTTACCAGCAAGAAGTAATTATCTTATAAGACAAGTGTCTAAACTCTCCCAGGCAGGTCCGTAATCATGATTGGAGAGATGAACATTTTTCTGCACTAGTTCGAAGTACCAGGGGTAGGAAGATGCATTCACACGTAAATGCAATACAACTTCATCACATTCAAAGTCTGTGTTTGAGATGTGTTGACCAGAGCTCTGCAGGGTTCCCAAGGGTACTGGGGCTGTTTATCTTGCTGAGAAAATTTGCACAATGATAAGCTGCATCCTTTGTCAAGTAAAATGTGATTGTCAAAGACCCCATATAAAAGCCTTGCCAAAAGGGGTGCCAGCCAAAACTGCAGCCTGATTCTTTTTTTTTAACCTTTGAAATGTGTTATTAGTTATGAAATTGACCGATGATCTTTGATTGTATGAACCCTGTTTTTCCAAAAGATGGCCTTGGTCCATTTGCATGGGTTGAGCGTGTAGCATGTAAGGTTTATGATTATTTATTCACTTAATAAGTTAATGTCACATGTTCTTACTCAAAAATGCTGCGAGGGGGAGCAGGATTTTACCCACAATTTCTTCAACCATACAATTGCTCTTTGACAGAACCAAGCACGATGCATTCATATGTCAACAGTTGAAATGAAGTTTGGATGTTTTGCCCTGTCCGACTTGTATTATAACACTGCATACCCAGTGTTTGCCCCCCGAAGGCTTGTGAAAAAAGCCTTACTGAATGGCATGTAAGAGGTCCGATTTCAGCCTCTGCTCTGATTTGTCCACTGTGTAAACTCATTTTAAGCCTTTTAGTTCTGTAGTCTGAAAACATTACCGAATCACATGAGGTGCAGATTCTTCAGACCGCGGTGATTATGTTGTTCCCACTTGGTGATGCTGGCACTAAGACGATATGTCAGACTATACCAGGCGTCGGTGACTCAACACATGCTGTGAATTCATGTGATACAGCAACAGCGTAGACTGGGAAGTTACATCGTAAATTGAATTTGCAAATTTACCTTTAAAGTCTCAGTGTTGCCAAATTTTATTGCACCTGAACGCAAAAAAAAAAGTGCCTAGACACTTAGGGGAAGATCAGGTGGTCAGCTGCTCCTCGTTCAGTGTTGTTTCATGCTAACGAATGCACACCTTGTTGCTGCAAGAAATTATTCAAAATTGACGGGGTTTGGTCCTGTTTAATCTCAGGAGAATTCATTTTGAAAACAGACTTTGACAAAAAAGATTTATTGAAAGTTTAAGAAAACTAACTGTGTTGAATTTCATTCCATATTTGTTGTAAAAACAAAAGGACATCTATTGCAAAGTTCGAACCCGGAACCTTTAAAGTAAGATACTGGAACAGTGCAGTGTAGCTGTGCATTTGCTGCACCAGTCTCTCGTTTGTCTATGCTGGGAACACCATTCAAGAAATCAGTGCATGTCACGAGGCCAGAGGTCACCAGGAAAGGAAAAGCATACACCTGTTGCACTGCTTGCTTGAGTTTGTGTCTTCCAATACTGGCCCAAATTATTGTTCCAGTTTCTTTCATTGGTCCTACAGTATTTCACACAGGAAAGCTGGTAGACGGAAGTGAAAAAATAGCCGTTGCAAGGTGCCCCCCCCCCGAGATACAGGTCTCACTGTGAAGTTCAATATTTTGTTGCATTTGGGGATTTTGTGGACACAAAAACCAAATTGTCATTCATGCTGTAGGACAGTCCTCTTCTTGTTGTTTGGGATTGTTTTAGAGCATGCTGTATTTGTCGATCGTGTTATTTTAACGAAAGACTGTTTCCTGTCTCAAAACAACTCCAGCTTCACAGGAAGACCAATATTTGTTTTATATAGGAGGCTGTGTGGAAAGTGGCATGATAATAATAATGATGTGTGTTATGTGAACTGAGTATGAGAATTTATACCTCCCCACGACAGTTGCTTCTCCCAAGCTTAAATTTAAACAAGATTGCAGTAGTTGGTGTGCCGGTTACAACAAAATCTAGATGCTCTGAAATGCACACGTTTTTGCATTGTTTTGTAATGTAAAAATGCATATTTTAAAGGCTGTTAAGATGTTTGTTTTGTGGGGTTGCGGGCTGATGTACTTGTATTTTGGAAATCTTTATCTTCAAAGAAGTTTCCTAAATTTCAATGAAAATCACTGTATTTGCTGTCGTACAGAATGTAAGGGAAAAAAACTTGAGTAAATAAGTATGTGTAAGCAAACATCCGCAAGACAGGATGTATTGTCAAAGGTTGTGTGGAGAACCCACAAGTCCCACACTGGTATATTATTGATAAAAACAGCATAAATGCTGACATTTGTAATATTCACCACCAAAACTAAAATTTCATACACGACTAAAGAAATATCCCAAAAAGAGGTACAGTGTAATTTTAAAAGATTCAAAAAGCACAGGTCGAAGTCATAACAAAATGACACTACGAACATCTAACAAAAGCAACACGGTGCACTCACATCAAGCGTCCATTGTTATTAAACCGTGCTTCTTTTGTTCGATGTTCCGATAGTGTGGGATGGGGGCGGACACAAATAAAATCTTCATTTATTTTTTTGTGTGAGTGCTGGTAGTTGATGGATGGGCTTTTGGTTGGTTTGTTTTATAGGCCATGAAGTTTTATGTGACTTTTGGGGAGCATAAATATAAACGCTCAAAAATCAGCAGTTTACGCCCACAATTTATAATGTGAATATGAAGGATTTATCCTTCAAAAAGTAGGCGATAAGGGTCATAAAGAGAGAGAGTGTGTGTGTCCGGCATTATGGACAGTGTAAACGTTGTGATAAGGAAAGGGTTTCTTTTGTATCTTACAAAAGTGTCTGGAAATCAAGGGGCACGGCAGAGTATATTATTTTGATATGGTACGCTGGTAGGGAAAGCTTGTCACAAAAGAATATTTTTGACAGCTAGAGGGTGCACAAGGAATATTTCCAGATTTGTTCTCCTTGAAAAAACGCTAACTTTTGTTTTCTTCCACCGTTTTTCAAGTCATTTTATGAGCTGTGTTTAACCTGTTCAAGGTACATCGGTCATTCTATAAATTTGGGGTCCATTTTTTCCATCCCTGTAACGTCTGGCATTTGATTTTTAATGTTTAGAACTCATTGTTCAATTTCCTAGATTGAATAAGGACTGCAAATTACCTGCCAAACAAATAAAAATAGTCTGAAATCAATTTCGGTGATACATCCCTTGTCAAACACGTCAGATGGTATACATGTTAGAGGTAATTGGGACAGAAAAATGTCACACGTTGGACCCCAAACTTATAGAATGACCCAAATGTATGCCGTCTACATTTACAAGGGGACCAGAGGAGTGGTAACAGAGATGTTTCAGTTGAAGACCGCTAAATTTTTTGTTTTGGAACATTGTTTGAACGCACAGTCCGAAAAAGCTTCTAGTATTACAAACGACCTCCAAGCAGCTTACAAGCACAGTTTGGAATCCGAGTCCATGTGGAAAGTGGTAAAATCAGCCTAGTGTTTTTCTTCCGGCTCGAGTTGCTCCCGGCGAGGATATGCTATGTCAAATCAGTGACACCCCCACTCTCCTAAGTTGTAGCTTAGGTGGGAATAAACAGAGTTGCTTTGACCAAGTCGTGCGAAATATGATTGAGACTATGCATCCATTTGTTATTGTGGTGTGAAAAACACGGTGGAAAATGAAGAGTCTTTGTCCCGTTTTGTCTCATGTAGTGACTTATCTTTTGTGGACTAGTGTTATTAACTCGATCATGACTGGAAATAATAACTTTTATTTAGGATCCATTGTAGTTATTTATATGTCGTGGAATTCAACAGAATTATTTTTAACTGTATAGTTATAAAGTTGCCCCTCCTTGCCGAAGCACCTTCATTGATTTAATTGGAATAATTGCACTTTTGTGAGACCTTGTATTGTTGTTTTTGTGAATAAAACTACTGTTTCTTTAATTCCTAACAGAAATCGGATTTTTAACTATTTTCCAGTGTGAGGCGTTTATTTCAAGATCCATAAATGTCTGGTTGATGTGGACTCGAGACAGGGGATGCCTTCATTCCTCAAATCACGCAGCCAGTCGGTTGATCATTGTGGCTGCCTGGACCTCTTGTCTCGGGCAGTCGGTTTATTTAGCATTCACAATCAGTTTGTGACAAAATCCGACCCCACGAATTAAATGAGTGGTAAGGTTTGCCATCGTGTCTTCTGTGAGTGGGAAGTTTGACCAAAATATGACACACACGCCCTTGACTTGTAAATCAGATGATTTACGTCTTTGACATGGTTCTGCCAGGTATCTGCAAAGCAGGCAAACACAAAGCCAAATTTTGAATGATTTTATGTGTGTGTGAGACCTCCTTCGAAGTTTGCACAGTTAAAAGTCCAGCAATCCCGCGAGAAAAATTGAGCTGGGCATCGAAAATAATCTGCGGGTGAAATTAATGAACATGACAGTATAAAAGGTTTCGCACCTCCGGGACAACGAACTTTGCGTGTGATGCCGTACCACCTTGATGAACCGGTCATATTCATTGAGAAAGTTCTCTACCGCATTGCACCATTCCTTTATGTTCAAATATGAAAGCTCTCCAAAGAGATGTTTTTTAACAGTGACCATCAGTTTCAAACGTGCGGCAAAAATGTACAAGGTCATACACAGGGAGTCTGTTGAGCATCTGAGATGGAAAGCATAAGATTGTCACGAGGCAGGGATTGGTTGAACTTGACGACTGGACCTGATCAACGCACGCATCAGTCGGAATAACCAGACAGGAGAGCGATGTTGCTATGGTCACAATATTGATCAAGGAAACATACACTGATCAGGCTGGCTTGCAGATAACCGAGCCCAGTGGTCCTAACTAGCTGTTTCGTGGCCGCAAAACCTGTAGCATCAAAGAAGACCATAGCAGTGCTCTCTTTAAATTAAATTTAAACTTAAAAGGGATGGGTCATGTGGTTCCCCGTGGTTGAACTTGTGGAATTATGAAGCTAATTTGTCAAGCGTGACAGCTGTGTACGCGTAGCCACGTGGTAAGCAGGCCGTGGGGGGGATTGGAGGGCCCCCATGGTGAGCAACTCCCCCCATCCGCATCGCTCATGTGAGCATCAAAATTAACTGATTTTGTCATGTACCCTCCAGTAGGTACTGCGCCCACCATACTTGAAGCTTGCGACGGGGCAAGTGTTTGGGGCATATTATGTCAATATGCGTCCCAAAGTCTTGAGTTGCGTTAGCCGAAGAGAGTAAACTAGAAAATATTAAACCTTTTGAACTATTACTCTGTGAATTCTAGACCTAGATATACGTATTCTATAAAGGAGCTCGGCCTTCTCCCGAAATCAGAAGTTTCGAGATCCTCCACAGAACTCGAAATTGCTTGTTCTTTACCATTTTGGAACAACTTAAAAGTGTTTCAGCATTAGTTGGCAATCTCAGTAGCCGGTACTTCTGTTCGGGCAGTACCACCTCTTAAAACCAACTTCGGTTCAGGCGGAAACGCCGTCACTTTACGTTTTCTCAATGTCGCTATGCTTATTCTAAAGAAGGCTGTAATTGACCAAAGAAACTAATTTGCTGTTATCGAACAAGGCACTGGAGTGGACATTTTCAAATTACGTGTGATGCCTATCTTTTTGTCTGTCACATATTTAGTCAGTTTGACATTTATTCCCTGTGAGGTCTCAGGGTAACAAGTCCCTCGCACTACGAATTATATCAAACTTGTCGTAAAACTGAAGAATGATAATTGATACTAACAGGAATCCTTTGGAGACGAATACCAACATAACAATTTGCCATGTGGAAAGGCTTTGAGGTGTGAATCCGTTGGGGTGCCCCCCCCTCAAAATACAATGAAAGAGGGTCACGTCTTCCCTAGAGCGTGATGGGGGAAGGGGATAAACGGTTGTACATGTATTATGAAATCCTAAAATCTCCCCCCCCCAAAAAAAAATATCTGCCACAGCCCCCCTCCCCAAAAAACGGTTTTGACTCCGCCTGTTTTGTTCTCTTGTGTCCTAAAAGTGAAATCTGTACTTTTTTCGACAGAAACTAGAAAGAATGTAAATTCACTTCAAACTGAGTTTATTCCAACTGTTCTTTTTTTCAAACTCAGTTTAACACTAACAGACTCTGCACAATTCAATTGAGTTTCTTTCACTTTTTTTTATTTGTTTGTTTTTTATTTATATATTTATATAAATATATATTTTTCTTAAATAAGAGGCAGGGTTTGTTAGGTAATGAGAAGGCCATTGTTTATACAGTTGCTGACGTTCGTACGTTTTGCCCTCCCTGGGGATCAAGGTATCGTGCTTTAACAATGCTATGTAAACAAACTAGATGTGCTGAGATTAGTGCATGGACGAGTTAATCGGTACTGAGCTTGAGGGTACCCAAGTCATGCACATCTTCATGCGCGCAAGCCCCAGTGGGAAACATCAGGCGCACAAACCGAAGAGCGCATGTGCGAGCATGCTCGATATGCCGACTCTGAAAACACCGGCTTATGTAACGCGCGTGCTGTTTTATACTTCGGCCTAGTAAGTGAAATACTGGATCAAAGTTCATCCGGCCGAGTTGAAAACGCGATAGACGAGTGATATATCCAACAGTTTGTCTGTGTTTACCGTCAACACTCAGACTGCGCTGAAAAAAAGATACTGCATTAAATTAATACAACACCGGAAAAGGATACCCACGGCTTTGAGAAATGGAACAACGAGGGGCCAGTAACGGAGGCTTTAACTACGAGTTTGATGGTGGTGAAAAAGGCGGGCCCGAAGAAAATAATAGGTGAGCCAAGTAATTTCAAACCCCAGTGGGTTTTTTTTTGTGAAGACACGGTCAGTTTGTAGCCTTGGTGACAACCGTTACAAACCTGAGCAGAGTATGAGCAATGAACTCCTCCACATCAAAATGTATTTATACAACTGTTCTAACAATTGTGGCCTTTTTTTCAAATGGCGAATTTATATTTATACTGCATTTTTTGCATACTGCTTATAAATGGTCTTCATGTAGCAAGAAATGTCAGGTAACAAAATTTGGGTTGAATCCTCGACGTCACTGTTTTCACAAAGCACCACAGCGCCTTCTACTATTGTTGGATTGCCTTTATGTTAAAAGGCGTTCCAACATTTAGCGTAAGCCACGTATCTCTTCGTGAAAGAGGTAACAATGAATTTAGCTTTCACAGGAATTTTAGGGGAAATCTTCATTACTTTTTGCTATCGACCACAACTGTGATGGAGAAGGGAGAAGCCCGACGAAGTTTCTCTAATTTCGTTTGTAGTATTGGAACTGTTCTGTGGTCGCTCCATTGGAAGACCCATCGGTTGTAGAGTACCCAACGGTTGCGATTAGCAATCATCTTGTCACTTGGTGTTAACATTTTTGTGTCCATTTCATAAACATCAATGCGCAGACGATGTGCAGAAACATTACCCTTCAATTTTCGAGGCGAAATAAATTTTAACAAAAGCTGTTTGAAGCAGTGGCGGAGCCACAGGGGGCCTGGGGGCACGCCCCCCACAAATTTCTGGTGCCCCCCAGGTTCCCCCCGCCCACTAAAAAAATGGAGGAATGCATATTGAACAAGGCTAACAAAAGCTTGTCCCCCAAAACACACCACTTAAAGCTGGTCCCCCCAAGATGCTGGTCCCCCTTTGTGCCCCCACTAGTAAAATCCTAACTACGCCACTGGTTGGAAGAGTGATGATGGTACAGTAAGACCGTGTTTTTGTAAAGTGATTGTATAGTCATTTCCCTGTGCGGCAGACAGGGGCGATTTCTGACAACAATTTAGATAAGATTTATTTGAAACACATGTTAGCCTAATACACCTTTCCTGTTTTGCACATTTTTTCCACAATATCCTACAAAACTCCTCGAACTGATAATTCACTCCAGAAGGTTGCCCCGATTCTCATGTCACTGTTTCCAAAAGCGTGTTGGACTGTATACATCCAGATTTTTCTTGAAACTTGGACGTCTAGGGAAAATCAGGACATAATACCGAGTCCTCCTAGGCCATAAAGCCATTGGGGGATTTATTTTCCCATTTTTAAGAGATTAATTTGCCGTCTCCCGCGAAATCAATTCCCCCCCCCCATATCGACCCAAGAGAATAATGAACTACATGTACTCTACTCCTTTTCGTTGTTCCGAGGGACATACTGTCTGCTCTCGGTCCCCGAATACACATGTACATGGATTTGCAACAGATAAGTAGTAATGTTTTCGATTCACTTGGGACAATATTCCCCACGCCATCACCTCCCCTCATTCATGCCTGCTATCTGTCTCGGCCATCCTGGCGTTGATTGTAACTCAATTCTCGTGCATGCATGGGACAACCGGTTATCTGGTGGACTGGTGCATTCGGGGGCCAGCTCCTAATCATTGTTATGCATGATCTCTTGAACTCAGACGAGGCTGAACCCTGGCGTTGACCCGGGTATACCCGGCCACCCATGAATCCCGCGGCACGGCAAGCAGCTCGCCGTTATCCACTAGTATCAGAACACGCACCCTTGATGGTACACTGCGGATGTACATGTACATGTACATGTACAACGAAAAACTTACACGATTTCTATCAGCGGAAACATGACCCACGCAACAGCGTCATCAAGATTTGCCCAGCAGGAACTTTTAACAATTCCATTAATTAGGATGGCATGCAAGTCCGTCCCACAGTATGTGCTGAGCTTGCTCAGCTTGGGAAACATTAGGGACGTTATTTATAAGCAGAGTGTATATATGTGATGGACACAAACGAACTAATTAACCCTAGGATGCGTTTCCAATTTATTTTTGTTTAGAACTGTCGGAATACTCTGTGCATGAGTAGCAGCATTTTGATGCTTACGGACCCTAGATTCCTTTCTAATGGCGTTTCAGTAGATCATGGGTGTCCTCCAGCCTCTACAGCTAGTAAAACCAGCAGAAAGTACGACCAGAGTCCTTGTTTCCCAGGCTGTCTCGAAATTGAGGGGGCCCACAATGGCCTCCAAGCCACAACTCCCCCCCCAAAAAAAAATAATCTGGTGTCTTCCAGCCTATAACTTAAACGTAACATGTTGGACTGTGAGTGCTCTTTCGGACGCATCCAACGGTTGCAATATTCGAACGCTTCAGTCAGAACCCTTCCTCTAATCAATACTACATACAAATATTGGCCAAGTTGGTAGTTGATTCGTTATAAGCTCGGGCCAGTAAAGTGGTAAAAAAAACTAAGTTTGTGCTCAAAACTGATGTACGTGTCCCGCACCTGCAATGGCTATCAGAAACGTCGAAACGCACACAATAGCACCTGTTGGATTATCAACCGGTTGCGATAACTGTTTCTTGCCACTGCGCGGGGATGGATTTCGGTGCAAAGAAAAAGGGAAAGAAATGAAAAAGAAAGGGTCTGAACATCATTTCCCTTGAAATACATCCGAATCCCGCCCTCCATGGTCGCTGCTATATATGCTTCCACCCCACCCCCGAAAAAAGCATTTTCTCCACACATGGTGACGCCCGTGCATGTCTCCAAAACGTAGTGCTCGGTATCATTTACGACGTTTCAACAAAAACATGTACCTTTTATGATTCGATGGTTACTTAAACCATCCGGTTGTGTAGGTCAGGGACTTTTATGACTCAAGTTTAGTTATTTTCTGGAGATTTCTAAAGTCATTTTCTTTGTCCCTCTTGCCTTTAAAATGGTATCATTAGCTGTGGATTCTAAGTTTCCGGGAGACCAAAATTGTTGAAATCCCAAAAGTTTTCATTGAATTCGGTCGGACGTCTCATTGAAATTCGCGTTTCTCCGCCATAGTTGATAGTTGAATTCTTTCTTTTAGGTGATTTCCTTTTTTTTTCAATTTGGATGGTCCTCTCGGTGCTATCTTCAAGTTCCTGGGTACATGGTAACGGACAGAGTCGTATCAACGCCCTATCGCGGAGACGGCTTTTCATAAGTCGCATGACTTGTGGGTTGATCATCAAGAAAAGCTGTCCAAAGGGGGCAGACTTTGTTTCAGACAAACTCTGTAAGCACACCCTCTGTTAGTCTGAACTTAAAATAGAGCTGTACTAAATTGTCTAGCGGGAAGGGGCTGCTTAGATCTGAACCTGTCACGACGTGACAGATCTTGACGATGAACTCAATAATTAAAACGTTTGGCCGGACGGGACAAGAAGCTGCCCCCGTCTGTATCGTTTGCGTGTCGTTATGTAGACGAAATCTGGTAATAGGGGAACATCACACATCAGTTTCCGGTTACTCTTCTAGTATTAGGGGCATGTGGCGGTAGCAAGTCAAGAGAAAACGCTTCTGAAACGCCCCCCCCCCGGATTTTTTATTCATTTTATTTTTATTTGTAATTAATATTTTTGAACGCCTTTCTTTTTTTCTTTCCCACCAGTGTGCCCCGCGCGTAATTTTGCTAATTGTCATGATTTAAGGCATCCCACTTTGGTAAGTGCAGGTGGGTGTCCTGTCCCCTTTTCTGGATCTGTCACTGCGTTTACAGATGCAGTCTTTTAACCGAGCCTCACGGGCTGTTATTGATTTGAAATGGACACTGTATTTCAAGTACATTTTTTTCCATTTTACCCTTCATGGTTTTGTGCAGGAAAAGGTGCCCCGTGAATATGGACATATAGCCAGATAAATAACAATACTTTACGAATCAATACCTCCATATTAAAATCTCATCTCATCTGCTTGAGTTCGCTTATAAAATTAATTTTATTATTGTTATCCTTGAATTGCCTTTTGCCTCTCAGTTATACCAGTACATTCAGCTGCCGTGTATTGGTCCGCATCTAATTTTTTATAACCTTGGGCCTAAGGCCAATAAAGAATTCTCGAATTTCAACAAAATATTTTTCCTGTATGTTATCAATTTATACTTGCTGATGTATTATTCGCGAAAAACATGCAGAGTGACAAGGTACTGCTGCAGCTGCACAACACGTGTAGCCTATAGGCCTACAAGTCAACATGCCTCAAAAATGTGAGAGTGAAATCTAAAAATACCCGCTTGGCCAGTTAGCGGTACACTGCTTATAAAAAGCTTAGCCTTTAATTTTCGCGACTGCAGTCTCACAGTTTATGTTAAAGTTACTAAATTTGGAAATCTGGAAAGTCGCAGAGTCTGCAAGCTTTTGTTGCACTATGATTGAAATGTTTGTTTTGATTCTATAAAACTTTTTTCCCTGTGGTAGCTCAGCTATATGGGCGGCCATTGGGGTAAAAAAAGACAATACAAAACTTATAAATAAAACCAAGAAATATAAATGTATACAAATACAAAACAAACGAAAATATCAACATGAACAAAAAATATACCGGTAAGCACTTACGATAAATATAAATACAAACGAAACATGCATAAATGGCATCAGCTATACATGTACATGGTTGAGAGATTAGTTATTTCTACCCAATCACAAAAGTTGTGGCAAAAGGATAATTAATCAATGATGCATTGTTTGTCCATGTTGTAAACCGCGCAAAATATACCATCTGCTACCTTGCGTGTATTATGCTGGCAGAACCATGTATCTTGGAAACAGTAGGTTTTCTTTGCCAAATCGAGACTCGCACTGGGGAGCATCAGAGATTAAAGTTACATGTATGTTTAAAAACCGAGTAATGCGTTGATGAAGAATTTTGCCTGGTATTTAACGATGCCATATAGTGTTGGTTTCGTTGGATACATTGGGAAAATTCCGGATTCACTCTGAAATTGCTTGAGATAGCAGATGCTAACTCGGGAGCTAAAAAATATATTGCTCGACATAAACCTTTCTCAGTGGAAGAGCGCCCCTATAGCCAAGAATGCGGTAACTACAGCGGTTAGCCGCATCTGAAATGGGTATTATGGCTGTCAGTTATTTGACTTGTTGTTGAGTGTGGTGCTCCATATGTGCCATCTGGTTTTTCAGGGGGCGTCGCATTTTTCAGCTGGCGTTGTATTTTTGAACAGGCGTCATATTTTCAGCCGGCGTCGCATTTTCAACAGACGTCGCATTTTTCAACAGGCGTTGCATTTTTCAACAGGCGTCGCATTTTTCAACAGGCTTCGCATTTTTCAACAGGCGTCGCATTTTTCAACAGGCGTTGCATTTTTCCACAGGCGTTGTATTTTTCAGCCGGCGTCGCATTTTCAACGTAGGCGTCGCATTTTTCAAGTTCGACTGGCGCCGTGGCATTTTTTAGCCAGCGACGCATTTTTGGGTTGGCGTTGCATTTTTCGACAGGCGTTGCATATTGAAACAGGCGTCACATTTTTCAACCGGTGTCGCATTTTTCAACCAGTGTCGCATTTTCCAACTAATGTCGCATTTTTCAACCGTGTCGCATTAATTTTTCAACCGGTGTCGCATTTTGATGTGAATAAGCCGCGTAGCCATTAACGTTGATGGTCAAGCCATGGTCTGGCTGACCTGACATAGTTAACTGGAAACGGTTAAATTAGCATGTATTTGTCGATTTGTATAGTTGCTGGTAAATAAATTAACACCCTTTAATGAACTCGGTCAGGTTCCTACAAGTGTCATTTTGATGAAAACAACTCAATTATTTGTGGAAATTCACATCGATCAATTTGGTTTCCCACTTCTGCAAGCTTGTTGAGTTGAAAATACCCTCGTCTTGATGATTCCTTTAATTATTTATCGCTGTGGCTGTTTTTGGCTGTAACTGCTGTCATTACGTAAAGTTACGTCCAAACCAAACCCAGTAGGTCTATTGTTCACTCTGGCTGGTACTTGCCAACCTGCAGAGTTGCCTGAGGAGGCGTTTATCGCAGTAGTGTCTCTAAACTGGTTGAAAAATGTAACGCCTGTTGAAAAATGCGACGCCCAACCAAAAATACAACGCCGGCTGAAAAATCCAACGAGACGGCACATATGGAGCACCATAGTAGCCGTAGTCAGAATTACCTAACCCATAACGCGCGGAGCCTTGAATCGTGTGAACCCAGCCGCGCGCAGGGCGATTGGATCACTAGTCGTGAGCATGGGTGGAGCCGTGGTGATGTGCGGATGAAACAACCAGGGACCAACACCATTTGGAACGTGCTGGGCCTTATATTTAAAAGCTTTTCAGTTTGTTTTTCAGTTTGTTTGACTGCACACCGCTGAAGGACTGCACCGAATGACACCTCTGAAATGTTCACTTTCTGTGCGGGTCGAGTAACGCTGCATTTGTTCACCGAACCTTCCTCCATGTATTGAGTAATATTATAAGTTAGGTCATCTCTCTGCGAGCTGGTGATTATCAGCTGCACTCATCTTGTTGTCCCTTGGTCTGACAAAGTCGTTCATTCGAACTGCTCCTGTTTTCAACCTTTTCAATTATCACAATGGCCCACAGCGACGTCAAATTCAGTGCACTGGAGGTGGACGATCGTGGCGGGTATTCGAAAGGCAACGAGGCGGACGTCATGGACTTAGAGAAGTCGGCGTCGGCTGCAGGGCGGGACCGATGGGGACGGAAGGCGGAGTTTGTGCTGGCCTGCATCGGCTACGCCGTGGGCCTCGGCAACGTCTGGCGTTTCCCCTACCTGTGCTTCAAAAGCGGAGGAGGTAAAATTTTAAAATTTCCTCAAAAAAGACACTTTTTGAAAGACAGATTTGCCTGTCACTTTCAGTCTGCACTGTGTTCAGAAAGAATCAGTTGTTTTCAAGAAGCCTCGTTTTTAAGTTGAATCTGTGAGCATGCCCATAAATTCATTCTTTTCCCTTTTCTGGAGGGTAGGCCTAATTCTCCAAAATGTTTCTTTCAGAGGGTATCTGTACAACTACCAGGCATACCTCAGCTATGGGGCTTGTGACACAAATTCCATAGTTCTAGGGATATACAACTTTACAAGTACAACTTATCAACTTGAAACATAGCATGAACATTTGTGGCCTAACGTGCGTGACCATATATTTACCGGGTCCCTTCAATTATTTCGCCACGTACTGTGAAAAGCAATCAGACCTGACAATAGGTGGCGAAATTAGGGACCTGGCGACGATACCGTCACGCACGTTATTTATCTCGTACATTGTTAGTACCTGTATTTTGCCATGAGGAGGAGATAGAATTAATTCAAAAAAAGAAATAAACCATGATCCTGAGGTACCAACATACCCACTGGTAACAATTAGCAGTTTCAGCTGTATCCTGAATTACTGTTTGAGACCGGTCCTACTAATTACCGTCAACACACCGTCAACACGAAACAGACCGTCAACACACTGTCAACACAGCATCAACACCCCCAAAACATGTTAAAAATCAAAAGAAGCGGTACTCGATCGTAACGTGTTCGCCGAAGGGATATTTTGCCTAAACTTCCACCGGTTAGACTCAGGAAAATTACCGTTTTAATTTGGCCGAATCGCCTCCTTTGAACAGCTCAGAGATCCGCCGCAAAGACTGATTGTCCATTTTTGTATTTTGACAAAAATTGTGTTAAATAAAATCTATGATGTTGTTTGTGCTATATTGATTTTTACTCTCTTAAAAAGCATTTAATTTATCCGGTTCGTAAGTGTGACGTCACTTCCGTTTAAACCACGCCCACTGCACACGTGCACTGCACATAGGGTCACATGCATTGATTGCCGTTTACATGGAACCGGAAGTTAATGCGAAATTTCAGCGATTGTCCAATGAGAACCTGCAAATCGTGGCGCGTCTGCCTTTGTGACAAAATCACTTACGAACCGGATAGCACAGCATATCCACACCTAAATAGTACAGTCCAAGCTCCATGAGGAGGCAAGATGGCGACGAACAGCTACGCTGCTAGAGTTTTTTTTTTTTCGTGTGAAAAATATCCATTTTGCAAATTGATTTGTTACCTCCAACTATACTGGAAAGTCTCTTTCAGCCCAAGCATTACACTTCTGTGCCTCTTTTGTGGATTAAAGTTGTATTTTTGGGAAATTGATGCTGTGTTGATGTTACTATCGTGTGTTGACCGTGTGTTGACGGTAATTAGTAAGACCCTTTGAGACCTGATAGATTTTGAGCATGGAAACATTTTTTCTGTGTGTGTGTGAGGTCAAAGTCTGTTGACCTTTACTTCTGGGGGTTGTCCGAAGGTGTTGCAGATAAATTTTAATTTACCATGCCCCCCCTAAAAAAAACCGGAGCAGAACATATATGCCAATATTTTCTAACCAAGTGCAGGGTACCTGGGTTTTCAACCGCTGATTTCAGTGCCCAGTTCGTTTTGTTTCGGGGGCAGGTTACCTGTGAAGAAAAATGTGATGTAAAACATCAAGGAAAAATTGCCGAAGTGTTTGTTTTGTTGGTAAGAGTTCCATACATATACGTCCTTTATTTTCCCTTGCAATGGTTTATAAGCCATCAGAAAGTGCTAAGATACCCCCAAAAGTCACATTCAGCCGTGTAAATATTGAATCATTTACTTACAAACCACTTTGAATTCTTCAGACAAGGCCCATGGGGTTTGTGCACAGGGTGTCAAGTGATGTTCATGTGTAGAACTTGCTTTGTATTTGAGTTTATCAAGGTTCAGTTGAAGAATAACCTGCCGATTCTCAATACATCTCTGTGGCAACAAGAAAGTACGTCGTTGGAGTGTGAGTGGTGAAAGGTGCCTTGATCATGCGCAATATTATGGGCCAGATTACCTGTACAACCATGCAAGCAATTGTGTCATTTGATTTTAAAAAACAGCATTTTACTTACAGCAATGCAAAAAGGAAGTAGGAAAACCTACCTTTATGTTTCTATCCTATAAATACATGTATATCCTTGCAAACATAAGGTGACAAAAATTTTTGCCATAGCGATCATTGCAACAGCCACGTGGAAACCCTTGAGATAGAACCTGTCAACCACTGATGTTTCCTGTGGCATTTGTCAACATGATTCGATCGACGAGACTTTTGCAGTTTGCATTGTCATTATTTTATTGGTTCTTCAAATTAACACCAAATTTGATTGTTTGAGTTGTGGGTGCACTGTCCTCATGAAATGTCCTGAAAATGTCAGTGATAGATATAACAGGTATTGGACCTTAGACTTCAATGTCCTTGAAAATTTTTGTGATCTCTTGTGATCACAGCGTATCTAGTAAACACAATGTTGCTGTCTGTCCGCTATTATGCACAATGCCACTGGGTGGGTCTGCAATCTGACGCTTCAATTAAGACACTTTTATAAAACCCCAAATTGGAGTAATTTTACAAGCAAAAGTAATGTCCACAGAATTGTTTCCCAAGTTTGTGGTTGTTGACAAAATGTTATTTAGAATGAGGTAACCAGTTGTTCAGAAATTAATTACAAAAGGTACATGTACTTACTATTTTTTGTTTCATTCTGGGCACTATGATTGGAGAGTGATATGTTTTGTCGATATCACAGAGCATCTTTCATGGATGTGATTCCGGTGCAAAGTTACATAACAAGTTAAGAGTCAAAGAGCCATATGTACGGATGGTTGATGCCACGTACTGGCAGTATTTTATGGCTTAATACATCCCTTGCATACAAGGAATCTCTCAATCACCCCTGCTCTACAATACCTTTCTTCGGACAATTGCCCAAATGCCTACTGAGTTAAAATTAAATTCCACACCAAGTGCATGCATTTTGATGTGGCAATATCGGGAAACAATAATGTGACTTCAGGGAAACCAAAGGGAGCATGATTATTTTGTTATTTATTTATTTTCTTTTTAAAAAAAAAAGGTACCCATGTACCCAGTCTTTACGGAAATGGTATCCGGTACCAATAAATGCGCAGGCCTAATAGTTTCCAAGCTCCAAAGTAATATTAGTCTCTAAGTCCCAAAGGTTTCATGGGATGAACATGCATGACATAAAACTGACATGTACATGTATATCCAGCAAGAAATGAGACCGAGGTGTACCCCCCCCCACATGTCCAGTGGCTATACACACTCGAGACTGTTATCTAACACATCCCCCCATTGTCTGAAAAGAGTTCCCCAAATGACCAACACAAAGCAGGGGGGGTTCTCTCCATCTCATATCTTGCTTCAGGTATAATAAAACTTGCCATGAACAAAACCCCCAATGTGTGGGATGTGTAATTCACATGTACATTGCTGATGTACTCAGTGTTTTCGCACATCTATTAGAGCAACTGTAAAAAGGCATTGTGTCAACAGAAAGAAATGCCATAGTGGCTTGCAAGTTGACTATTGTGGTTCTCAGCCACTTGAGCTACAAGTACAGTGTATGTACATACCATACTTTATATATGCAGATAGTGTAAGTTTGCACAACATGCTGCAGATTCTGTATCTACCTTTAGTTAAACATTTAACGATCTGCGTTTAATTGCTGTACTCCACAATGTACATGCACTTAATGAATAATTCTGTGCCCAAATTGTACCTTGCGTGGTAATGTTGCCATTAGATTTTCAATCCATCACCCATATGTCTGAGTGAGAGTTACGACTCAGCACTGTTTTGCAAATGACTCGACGAACTTCCCCTCTTTAGTACATGTAGCTCATCCACTTCCGTTGCGTTAAAAGTCAAATGATGCTTCTGGGAAGGATGGAACATTAGTGATTGTCATTAAAGGTGCTGGTACATATAGCTGTAAATCTCTTTACTCTTCATGCAAGTTGAACTCAATTTCTTTGAAACAGCACTTAGTCTGATAAGTCAAGATTATGTACTCATGTAACATGTCTTAGGGTTAGTAATAAAAGGCATGGGCAAACCTATAATTAGGAACTGGGTACCCTTAAAATAATGCCAGTCTTAAGAGAATACAATAAGTTGGCCATTTCCCCAGCAACCACAGTTAGTCCTTTAAATCACCAAGCCATTATACTGTTCCATCTCTTTGTCAAACATTAGGGCATCCTCATATCTGTTGTGTGCACCATTTTTATGTTCGTTTGGACTGTACGTGTTTGTATGATTGCTTGTACTTCATATGACTCAGCACTTTTCTCACACTGATTGAGTGACTGGCACAGTTTCCAATATCACCACCTGTCCTGTTGTATTACATACATGTACATGTACAGTACACAGATATTTTTCTGTTGAAGGTAGTCCGTGCAAAAAATACAAGCAAATGAAAATGATACAGGTGTTTACATCTCTAATGATCCACGTATGAGATGACAAGAACTGCATGTATTGTGTTACACGTAGGTTGCGTAAACTGCCCTCCACAATAGTGTTTAAGAAAAAGTGTTCTTTTTTGTAAGCCGTCTGCATAATTATGTATTGTTTTTAAGTTGACACTAATTTCGTTGATACAGTGAAAAAAAAAGTGAAGTTGGTCGGTCCACTTTTTGATTTATTATACAATATTTTAATAGTTATTTTTCAATTCAAATATTTGTAGGAAAAAACTAAGTTGATGTAATAAATTTTAAAGCTGGTCCCCGAAGAAATAGTTCTTTTTTCCAGTAACCAACTTCTAATAAGTTTTTGTAATGATTGGATTCATTGGAATGTACATTTTTTATCAGTAAATTTGCTTGGCTTGGCTGACCGATAGTGTACCATACTTGATTTCAATTCAAGTGATTACCGATATTTGATTTATCTCAGCCCTGTCGGTCACCAAGTATTTTCAGTTTGGTTCATATTCCGTGCAAATTTATGCTGTCACAGTTAAACACCGTTCATGCACATGTATCTACATAACCTTACAAGGCTGATCTTTTTTCATACTTCACTTGATTCAATGCAGACTAACCACTGAATCGTGCCCCCATAACCATGACCAATGCTGAGGCAAGCAATGGTAAAATAGCACCTTGACAAGCATGCAACCTTTGATCAATGAATGAGCTCCTGTACTGTGTCATTTAAGTGCATAAGAACATATTTCAACCACTTGAAGTTGTTTAATAGGCGTGACCGCATGAGAAAGAAATGAATTCCGTGTCAGAAGTGAAAATTTTATTGTCCTGCGTTCCCAGTACTTTTGGGAACTGGTTCATGTATTTGTGTGTATGTGTGATAACTTTACTATTTATGAACCTGTCATGTTGGGAAGACCTTTCTGTTGTCAACGGGACATTTACATACCTTTGCATTATGTTAGACAATTACTGTAACCCTCAGTTTCTAAGAGACAATGTTAAGCTGCTTTCAAATTCTTGGTTTTGCATCAAAATCCACCTGTCCATGTGGGGCTTTGTAGAGAATGAGACATGATTCAGCAAATTCAATGTATAATAGATCAAGTGAGCAGGTGTCATGGTGTCTATGATTTATAGTCATATTTTAAGCACTCTGTAAAAGCAGGCAGTTACAATATTGACTGAAGCCTGCCATCTCCACCATTTTTTACCACTGAACATCTGCTGGCCTTCCGCCTCAAGAACCGTGACGCCGATCAAGGGTTGATGCGGGCTAATAGGTTGCCATTGGCAACCAAACAACCTCCTACATGTATGTACACACCCTGCCATAGCACACACACAGTTTAATGGCAGACACGACAGACTGTGCGTATGGACATGTTTGCCGCAACTCGGAACCTTGCAGTAAAATTGTACATGAGACCTGTTTATGGAGTCCTGAGGTCACCTTTGCATATTTTGGACAATTAGTGTCAAGTAATTTGCCCTCTGTTGTGGTCGTGACTTGAGAGAACAAAAAGCAGGAACATCAAATCAGAAACAGTATTTTTGACAAATAAACCTACATTTTCATCATATACCCAGTGCCACATTGTACAAAAATGTACTTTTCCCTGAAACATACAAAAACATGTAAAGGAAACGGGGGGGGGATGAAAATAAATTTTGCGATCAAAACTTTAAAATCCATCAAGATGTCATGAAGTGTGATGGCTTCTGAATGGTTGAGTTGATCCCTTCTTGTTTCAACCCTAAAGCACAAGGCTTTCCATTCTTCTTGTTTTCACGCTGCTGATGTGTGTGAATGTCACACATGTATTCGTACACGTACATGTTATTACATGTAGTTCATAAAATGTGCAAACTCAGTCAGTGTGACAGAGATACTAGCATGTAGCATCCAGTCAGAAAATCCTAAAAGGGATTTGAGATGCTGAGTGTCCTGCCCAAGAGAAAAATGTGGCATTTTTGCCTTTAGGGAGTAGGAATGTATTAGAAGCCAGCTGCAGAACTCCTTTCTTTGGTTGGTCTCATCTGATTCCATTTACGTAAGCAAAGTACATGTGCATGTACATGTAGCCTTGTTGGGCAATCAAATCAACCTATGTGATTTGCCATTCATGTGTATATCCACCATTGTTGTAGGCAAAGACCAGATGTCGCTTAAAAGCTTTAAGGAAAGGAATCAGCTTTGAGCAAAAGTATGACAAAAATGTGGATCCTGTATCCAATGCTGAATTGGCATGAAATCAGCACATGCCACAAATAATGACTGTTACGCCATTTGATGAAAGACTTACATGTAGCATTTATCGCCCATGAAAATAGGCCTCACTGTCCACCTGAAAAAGTACAAGTATAATTTGTACATCAAAACCAAATGCTTGCCATGGGTTTCTTGGGGAACCTTACAGTCACATGCATGGTATGGTAGCGGTACATATGTACATGTCCTTTGACCTCTTGATAAGACTGGATACATTAATGTGCAGCTGCTGCATGTCTTTCACTTATTCTTCCGTATCCTTTCACTCCAGAAAATTTACTTCTTGCCCCTCAATTTCCTTACAGCCTTCAATACTGTCATGTGTAATGTTATCACACGAATGTCCACTTCTCACATTTCGTCGGGTTCACCACAAAGCAATGTACAGGATAGTTTGTTTTTGTGCACCGTGGAGTGACACACCATCCATAGACTTTGTACACACCATTCGTCAGTTCGTGGTGCAGCAACTATCCACGTTGCGTCACTTTGTGGTGAGGCCGACGATTTACCAAGTCCAAATTGTGGACTGGCATTACTGTCCGTAAGTTCTATAGGGTACATAGACGCAAGGATGGTCATATACCTGTTTTCCATGTTTCCCTACTCGTCACTGCCTATATCAACATCACATCTGTATTGTACTTTTTAGCTTTCTGTGGATTTGGTTCTTGTAACATGTACATGTAAATGACAAAAGGAAAATGAACAAATAAAAGGCGGGGGATTTTGAGGTAATCAGTAGCTTTGAAAGTAGTACATGTACATCTTTCTGTACAAACCCCAAAATAAAATGATGAACAGGTGTCTTGTCTCTTTTTTGCTTGATTTCACAGGCGCTTTTCTGATCCCTTACTTCATCATGCTGATCCTCTGCGGCATTCCCCTGCTGGTGCTAGAGTTTGGACTTGGCCAGTATGTCCGCGCCGGTCCCGTCCAGGCCTTTGGCAAGATTTGCCCCATTTTCAAAGGTAGGAAAAAGAATATGCCTAAGTTAGGCCTATAATTTTATACATGTACACGTATCTCAGTGCAACTGGCTGTTTAGAGATCTGAAGACCCAACGAGACTTGTCACTAAATCAACACAAGACCCCCAGTCTGAATTACAGGCAGAAGCTAATTGAATAAACTGCTACAAAAGCATTCCATTGACGCTGTTCGCCCTGTTGCATGTACATGTATTGTGAATGGTTTCATGTCCGATGTATGGATGGCTGGGACTGCAAGACTGCCTGATCATGCACATTTTGTAAAGTAGCATTTTAACAGGTACAGTCAACAAGTTATTATTTCTGGTAACGACACCAAGGATTCCTCAAAAGCACCCTAGGCACTGCAGCTCGCAAGCCTGAAGAAACCTAAGAGAGGAGACAGTGGGAAGCATTTACAGTTTTAGAGGTGGGAGGAAAACCCCAGAGGAATATTCTGGGTAAAACCCGCGAAATCGGGTAGGGACTGAAAATCCAATCTACATGTAGACTGAGCCAGGATTCGAACGCAGACCACAGAGGTGGAAGGCGAGTAATGAACCACTACGCCAACCTTACTCTTCCGTAAAGAATCAAGTTTGATCTGATGTTCAGCTATTACAAGTGCATACATATACCGGTACATCTAGGTAGCCATGGGGTTTGTTTTTCCATGTATTGAAATTTTAAATTTCACGTGTGTTTGTTCAGCCTACAGGAACTGAAATTAGGAATCATATCTATTGTTTTACACAAATGATGCAAACTCAAGTGGATATTTGAAGTGGACCTCCAAAAAAGTTTCAAAAGTTGCTGTATTTTGTGATGCGTGTGAGAAATTACTGTCTGCTTTGCGAGCTTTGCAGGCAAGCCGCGACCCTGAGGCTTTTTGCCCTGCTATGGCACTGTACAGAATAGAATAGACACCATCAGTCATTGAACAAGCATCGTACTCCCCCATGAAATGAATAACCTTGCCTCAGCTCGCCTTTATTGTGATATCTACTCTTATCCTTGCTCAGTAGCTCCAGCGTGCGCCAGAGAACAGTGATTGATCTCTGCTGGCAAGAATCTATCTTTTGAAAAGAGTTTTATTATAGTCAGGGGGATATGGAAAGTTATGTATAATGGCGCATTATTGTGTATCGAGTGTACATTTACATGTTTGTGTAGTGTACATGTACACGTATATGTATATGTACATCATACCAGTATGTGTGTATTTGGTCATAAAGTTGTATGTGTGTATCTAGATGAACCTGCTAAGAGTGGGTACACCCTTTTATCCCTTGTGAACTGGCAACATCCATAAGTGTGGCCCATTTTTACAGCTTTGCTCTCCATTCTGCACAAAGTTGTTTACATTAAGTTGGCATGCTGGTTTTCAGAGAGTTTCCTGATCATGTGTAACCGCTGTGACGATTTTTCTAAGCTGTCCCAGCACAAAACATTTGCCTAGATGTACATGTTGCTCAGTAGTTCCGTGAGATTGCCCCTGATTTCTGTGTTGGCACAACTTGCTCATGGAGCGTTGTAAGCATGATACCTGATAGTGATCCTTAATTAAAGTTGTCATTATGTGGTAAGTGGAGACCACAATATTAGGCCCTGGTTTTGCGTGTTTTGAAGCAATGCGATACTAGCAAGGAGCCACATTCATTGATGCTGTATGTAGACCTGTGCATGTAGACATACATGTACATGTACACACACATTGGCTTGATTTTATTGTTACTTTTTGTTACTTGGCAACAAGACAGAAACTGCGTCACTGTTTTTTTATTGGGGGAGGACTAACCAAATATTTCCAGAGATTTGATCTAAAAGTTACGTGCATCTGTAGGTTAAACATTGTCCTCCTTGGCAAAGGGAAAAATTGAAGTGTAGTCTCTGTGCAATTTGGAAAAAAGAAGAAGGTGCAGTTGAAAGTCCAGGGCACATATATCGGTATGTATGTACCTTGCGTGTGTGCCCAAACAAATTTCAAATTGGTTTTTACGCATAGTACATGTAGGTCCGCAACGCTCTACGTTGTTTATGGATTTGAGCTACAAAGGGACATAAATACAGAACAAAGCAATCCTCGAGCAGCCCTCAGATCCTTCAAATTTTCAAAGTGATTTGTGCTGCATTGAGGAACATACTCGAAGAGCCCAGTCACTAGCAGAGTTTCTTGCAATAGGACATAAAATTCTGCCCCCAACTTAGAATGTGCCACTTGAGTTCCGAACCGTAGAGCATTCTGTGTGTCTCCGAGGGGTTGGTCAGGTAATGTCAGTCGCAAAAATTGCCCCTAGAAGAGTTGAAGCGGACGTTATGGTGCTCCACACTTAGCATTGTCCAGGTACAAGTCCACTGAGAACTCTTGCCTACATGTACCCTACACTGCACTTGAAAGAATTCAGTTCAGGAACATGTTATCATTAAAACAAAAATGGGTGCTTACCTGTTTCTTAGTTTATCACAGCTTTTCCTTCAAATTATCCCAAGAGATTACTTATCTTTTTTGGAATGTTGTCTGGTTGTTCTCTGTTGGTAACTGTACATGCACATGTCGACATAGATGCCGTATTGACTAAATAAAAAATATGAACATAAGGTACATGTATTATTATTATTTACTTTTGTAAGACCATCACAAGAACCAATAAAGCAAAATTGAACAAAAAGTATATAAAAAATGACAAAAACACACACACAATTAAATATAAGCAGAAGCAGGACCAGGGACAAAAATCTGAATACATAACAAGACAAATAACAGTTACATGTTTGTGGGTCAGGGACTGCAAAAGTAAAATAAACCACTATTACCCGCGGGTATGCAGCGCCATGAACTGATTCATGTGATCTACATGTCATCTACAGACTCATAAACTTTGTTCATTTTTGTTACGTTGCACAATGAGGGCAAAAATGGTAGAATGGAGTAAATGGCCCTGTTATCTGTATTACCAAGAAAACATATTCTAATCAGCCTTTTTCTCTCTTCCTCCCCCGCCCTTTTTTTTTTTCTTCAATGTCTTCACCTAGGCACTGGACTCGCAACCGTCATGATCTCCTTTGTCCTGACCACCTACTACAACGTGATCATCGCCTGGGCCTTGTTCTACCTGGTCGCTTCCATGCAGAGCGAGTTGCCGTGGGATTCCTGCAATAACACCTGGAACACGCCCGACTGCTTCTCCCACGAAGATTACAAGATGCTGAACGGTAGCACCAAGCCCAACAACACCGTCTCCTCCACAGAGGAGTACTTCAAGTAAGCCCATTAGCTTTGTAACGTACATGTAGCGTCTCATGTTTGCAGCCTGCTGAAGACCATGTCCAACAGAAATCCTCAAGTGGAACCTAGCAATTACTTTTTTTATGAAGCTTTGTAAAAACTGAGGTTGGAGCATAGGACATGAATTTGAACACTTCTTAATGTGCAAGTATTTTCACTTGCTGGCATTTTAACAAAGACCTTTTAGTTTAGGCTCTGCATTGACAGGAGCTCCATTTTACAACAAATCACCTCCATGGACTCACATTTCACCCAAGTTAATACCCATACACTCTACTGTAAGTGTATTTCTCAATCAAAATTGAGAACTTAAGAATGGACAGCCGTTATTACAGTTTGCTGTTGCCGGTTAAATTGTCATTTAACACGTTTGTAGGGTTTAGAAATTAATTCTAACAAAATTCACGTAACTGCATTTTCGTGTTATCTATTCGTCTGTGCAGAAAGTTTCGATGACTTAGAAAATTTCTTAAAATTGAATATTGGGTTACATAGCATTCAGTGGGATTCCTCATGACCTTGGCACATGTACGTGTATGTAGTGCCTATGGCGTTTCGTTCTTGATGGCTTGCTTGTACATTTAGACCAGGGAATTTTTTTTTTTTAATTGGGGGAAAAGTCCTTTAACATGCCTTTGTATGTGCATTTGTTGACATTTTATTCTGCAAAGAACAGATGGCTTTTGCCTGTGTAGACAGTCATTTAAATCATAGTTGAAATACTAGTAGTTTGTTGTATTTTAATAGCCTTGGTGTTGCGGAAAATCCCTCAGTGGTCTAGCAGTGGGGACTGGGATGTTTTTATCTGAAATTCATAGACTTAAGACGGAGAAGTTTTGTTAGTCAGAGCGGTCTCTAGTCTCTACACCAAATTGGTAAAGGGTGCAGTGTTCACTTTGGTAAATATTATGCCAAGTCATTTGATAACTTTTTGATATTTGTCCACTCCCTAAATTTGTTATACCCTTATTTGTCTTTAATAATCAGCCATCGTGTGCTGCAAATCACGGATTCCATCGGCAATGCCGGCGAGATGCGATGGGAGCTCCTGGGTCTTCTTTTCCTTGCCTGGGTCGTCGTCTACTTGTGCCTCTTCAAGGGGCTGAAGACATCGGGCAAGGTTTGTGTCCGTGTGTCGGTCTTAAATTTCATTCTGTCTTAGAGACGAGAAGCAAATTTCATCTTTGAATAGATTTGCAGTAGTGTTAGGGACTATGTGTAAATCTCTTATTAAGCTAAGTGGAATTGCACCCTGATCACAGATTAGTCATTTGAAAAACTAAAGTTGCTCATGTTAAGCTTGTAGTTTTGCAGTATTCTGAGACTGCATCCGAATCTCTCGTCTAGAGCTAGGTCTAGGTCTTCACTTCATTGGAAATGTGTGGAGACGCGTGGACAGTAGACCTAGCCGTAGCTCTGAAAGCCCGTTTCGAACACGGCCTTTGACAACTGGATAACAGTGGGCATGGCATCAGGCCACCAATCTTGTGATGCTCTTGGTCACATGTTGTTGCGGTCACATGATAGGGAAGAGGATACCACAAATTAATGTTTCAGTGAGAAATTCAGTAATCTCACACAAGACTGTTCGTTTCATCAGAATGTGCCGTACAAACCGGTGTACTGCAATTTTGAAACAATTCATCTCTTTGATGATCCAAAAGTTGACCTTGCAGTGAATCTGCTTGGTGTGTATGTTTTTGTGTCAAGATGTTTCGCCTCGTAATATTGCAAAGAAAGTTTGCTATTAACCTTACCATTCTGAATTCAAGATTGCATGATTTCAATAGTCCCTATGGGGTTAGGGTTAACGTAAAAGTGACCAATCAACACAGTACCTCAAGGATACCGGTCCAGAGAATTCATCCAATTACCCATCCCCTGTGACCGATCAACACAGTACCTCAAGGATACCAGTCCAGAGAATTCATCCAATTACCCATCCCCTGTTCCCTTCCCCCACCCCCCACCCCGCCCCTTGCTGCTTTTGTCTGCCCAGGTGGTCTACTTCACAGCGACCTTCCCTTATCTTGTCCTCCTGGTGCTCTTCATCAACGGGCTGCTCCTGGAGGGGTCCGCAAAAGGCATCAAGTACCTCTTCATCCCAAAATGGAAGGAGCTGTTGAACGTGAATGTGAGTATCTATGGGCAGTCCCAGTTGACTTCTTCTTGAAGGGGATGTGCCTTTCATTTGTCAGCTTTTGATCGCACAGCGGTGTCTGTTTTCAGGGAGCTGAGTGGACAAAGGAGCATCAAGCATCAAAAACACATGGCTTCTAAGCACACAAATTTGCTTACCCAATAAAAAAATTCCCAGCAACATTCCGTGGTAAGGCCAAATAAATAATAGTTTGTCTCTGGTCAGACAGATGTTCCAGGTTAGATGCATTGACACAGCTTTCCCCCCTCCTCCAGGGTTGGACAGACAATTGCAGACACACACTGTCGAGTCTTGGGACTAGACCAGCTTTGTCATGATTACAAGCCGACAACAAACAACTTTGTATCCACAGTCTGCTGCCGTTGTTCAACATCGATCCCGTTGGGATCTATCGCCCTGAGTAAAAGATTGAGCTGCCCGCAAAAATGTTGAGGCAGTGCGGCAATCGAGGGTGCTGTTGCATCTCTCTCAGGGGGAAAAAAATATTTGAAATCGACGCACGTGCTGACCAGAGACAAAAGACTTGGGGGGGCCTAAGATGAAGCAGGGTGTAAGCCCGGATATCCAGCAGTGCCCAAGTTACTGGCCCTGCTCAAGTTTATTCTCGCCACACATAATGTGTGTATGACGTCCATCTTCTAGCTACACATTTGCCTGCTTAGCAGCTGTGTGCTGACGTGAATTTACATGCGCATGTTCTTTTTGATTGTTTGTTTCATTTTGTTTCCACATACAAATACATGTACATGTTGTTGTCTTTTACCTTTTTTCTCTGAGCTTTTTTGCCTTTTCAAACTTTGTAGGAATTCATAATGTATCAGTAGATCTGTATTCTGTATAATTTGATGATATATAAGCTCAGTACCTCGTCACCAAATGTTTGTTGCCTTTGCTTATTTTGATCTATCCCCTTGACCCCCCTCCCTCCCCAACCGGTCCTTCTCTCTACCTATCATTATTCAGCATCTGAAATGCCAAGAGAGCAGTTATCACCCTCTCAAAGTGGTAAAAAAAGTTTTCTGGCCCACGGAGGCAATAAATGAATGTGAATCACTGCCAGGTTTGTGGCAAACCAGCTTTGTTGCTGCCACAGTCAAGTAATCTCAGTTCAGTGACCAGCAGTGACTGAGGTACGCAGGAATCCCCCGCAGCAATCCCCCGGAACTTGACATTAAAAATGAATGACATAAACAGTTTCCCGAAATGAGCAATGATCCTGTGGGTCTTTGTAAAGGGAGATGTTTCAGAGCAATGTTTTGACACAGAAGTCTCAATCACTAGTTTGCAGCTGTTGAGAAACTGGTTGCATATTAAAAATGAAGAAGACATTTTTGTGGGCAATATTTGTGATTAAATAAATGTCAAACATATAGAGTATTTTTCTCTCGTGCAGTGCATTTCATGCAGAGAAGCCAGTGTTTTATGTCCACCACAAGTTCCAATATGTTGTACCTTCAGCCTGCCACACGTGACAGGATTATTGTAATCTTTGAACATTTCACAGTCAGATAAAGTTGATTGTAACATTGTCCATAGCAAGTCCAGCAGCTTTGGATGTCAGACACTGTTTTGTGTGATGGTTGGAATACATGTACAAAGAAGCCTTGTTGGCTTTTGTAAGAAAAATACAAGAACGGACGCATTCCGAAACATTCAACTAATTGAATGGTACAGTGTGCGTCTATCCAAGGCATTTCAGGACCTTGATGTTTCCTCATGATAAACAATGGATATTGCATTCCTGTATTTGCTACAGAAAGTTGAGGGGGGGTATAAAGAAAAATAGTAACCACCCTAAACTGACTTTTTACTCTTCGTTTGTTCATCTCCATTTAGTCTATGAACTGTTAAGGTGCCTTTCCAGTTTCTCTCAGTGTATTTATATTAATGCCATTTAGATAAACATTGACCTCAAATGTGAACCCCTGAATTTGATAGGTAAACATTTATTTTCGGTGCGCCCTCGACCTGTCACATCATGGTGTACAGTAGACCCATCTGATCACGGTTCTTAATGTGAACCGCGTGGCGCAAGGGGACTTTGAATCACGGTGAATTAAATGGAAAAGAAAGAGACGCTTGTCTTGTTGACCCAGAAAAACATGACACACATTGTCAATTGATTACAATTTGTATAATTTGTACAGGGCACCTGCTTACATGGGCACGTACATGTACTTCTGGCCTCGCTTACTGTTAAAATTTGTTCATTTTGGTACATTTTTTATCATGCAATGACCTCACCGATTTCTAATGTACTTGTAATGGCTTTAGTTCAAATGAGAAGTGATTTCATCTCTTTTGGGGGGAAAAAGGCTCAGGAATCACTGAGGGTCTAGTTTCATTCATTGATCTAGGGCTGTGTTTTCTGACGTTGGCATCTTGCCAACTGCTTTTCTTCAGGACCCCCCCCAATACTTCAATATTTGTCAGTTCTTGCCTAACACAACGCAGCCTAGCTAGCAACCACGATGGCAGTACAGCAGTGATGCATCAGTGACAGTAATCACAAGGGGCAGCTCGTGCCTCAAGACTTGAAAGATCATTCTGCAATATGTGCCTGCCTCCCTCTTCCCGCTGCTGTTGAATCACACCTCTTCCCTTTTTGTGGGAAATATTCAAGCTTTTGGTGTTTAAATCAGCACTGTGCTGCAGGACACAAATTAAGATTATCACGTCCCCAAATTAAAGGTGGCCTCTTTTGCTAACTCGGTTATTTCATTGCACATTAACTTGTACTACTAAGATTAATGGTTGTCTTTACGAAGCAATAATATGGTGTACACTTCTCACATGGCTTGGATCTGTATGTTTGGTGAGATGAGATGTTGTGTCAACCTCCCTCTTGGTTTCTCATTTTCTTGTAAAGCCAGAAAGGATCATGGGATCATCTAAAACATTTTTTAAAAATTTGATTAGAGGAGCAAGACTCAGATTAATGTTTGTACGTGTGTAATGGAAATTTGGAAACTACAGAAAATGTACAATAGGCATGTGTATGTACATTAAATGTACATGTACAATAGCCACATGAATACATTGTGTATAGCCACATGCGTGTGACACATGTCATTACATGTTATAGAACTGCATACAACGTCGTACATGTACATGGTGCACATAGGCGTAGGTGCATCAGGTGATCATGCGTTACCCCCGGCCCCCTACCCTCCAACCTTAAATCATGCTGTACTTGTTTTTGAAGTGCTGTGCTTATTGGATCTAGTGGTTGTGTGTGTCAGGATTATTTTGTCATCGTACAATCTGTTATCTTACAGGTTTATTGACTCTACAGTAATTTATTTAGTCAACATCTAACGTCACATCTCTCCTAAAGGTGATCGTGTGATCCTGGAAGGTTGTCGCCATGTTCTGCAGAATTGGCCAATTACAGGACAGCTATTTTTTAATGTGCCCTGTTCTGATTGGCTGAAATGATGGCCTCACAAATATTACTTTAACCCTTGCCATTTGTCTCTCATTTCTCTCCACAATTTGGCTGTTAGATGTCTGTCTTATTTCTTCTTCTGCTCTTGTTTTACCGCACAGGGGTAAGACATATTCCACCGTAAATTTACACATCCCTGCAAGTCTAAACGTTAGAAGCTAAATACATAAATAGGGTTCCTAAACTCAAGCTAAGCTGTGCTTGAGCACTTAACATCCTGGATAGGTCTAGAAAGTGGA